TATAGCTAATTCTTTGCGCGCTAAGCGTAATCTAGGCTATGTTTGTATAAACTAGCCTAGTACGTTTGTAAAGCGTTATTTAGAGCTTAAAGTAATGTTTAAGCGTAAGTACAACTATAAGAGAGCCTTTTACAAAAGTCCTAGGGTAATTTAGGGCAGGTTTAGCCTTATAGAGAATATTAAAGCTAAGTATAGCATCTAGAATAATAACACATACAACTTTAGCAAGATAGGGTTTATAATTAGCTAGATATCTTTTAACTATACTTGCGCTTAAAACTTTACTTTAAGCTCTAAATAACACTTTACAAACGTACTAGGCTAGTTTATGTAAACATAGCCTAGATTACGCTTAGCGCGCAAAGAATTAGCTATATTAGCTATAAATGCTATTTAAGAGGAAATTCCTTGCGCATATAGCTTAAGTATAGTTTTAATAATTACCTGCTTCTTTTTATTACCTAGCCTTTATAATTTAGCTGTAGAATTAGCTTATAAAGGTTATCTAGCGCTATAGTTATTTATTATTTTTTATAAGACTTTATATATAGCTATAGCACATTTCTTTAAAAGTTTTATGTCTTATTTAAAAGCTTAGAGTGTAAGCTATATCTAACATTCTTTTAGCATGTCTAAGTAGTGTTGTAGGGAATGCATTAGTATAGAAAGAGTAGTTTAGTAAGGTCTTAGCAAAAGTAAGCAACTTAGGTGTGTAAGCAACTTGCCTATAAAGTACATTAACTTAAAAAATAAAAATGCTGTATAATAATATATTAAGTAATGTATAAAAGAAGTATACATTATATCTATGTGTTAACTAAAGGCAGCATTTAACTTATTTATTACTATATAAACTATAAACCTTTTACATAATAATATTAACACACTTAACATATAAATTTAATAGTAGATAGATAATAGTAAGTATAGTCTTACTTTCCTACTATTATAGCTTAATAGTGCAAAGCTGTTTATCTTTATAAATAGATTATTTACTAATAATAAAAACTTTAGTTTATAGCTAAAATTTTTAATTATATTAAGTAATAAAAACTATATAAAGTAAAGTAACTACTTTAAAATACTAGGTAACATTATACACTAAAATTCTACTAAGTATAAAAAAGTAACTAGAAGTGTCTTTACTAGTAAACTATATAAAATAGTTAAAAAGTTTAATAATATAATTACTTTTAGTACAACTTTATAGTAAATTATATAAATACTTAAACTACTACTAATTCTAGTAATAATTTATATAGATTTAAAGTTTTTATATAATTACTTAGTTAAGCTAGGCACTACTAGTAAAATGTAACTTATAATTAATATTATGTTACTTTATAAATTATATAAAAAAAGAGAAATTACTAAAATAAAGTAAATTAATAGTAAAAATAACTTAGTAAATATATATATAAAAAAACACTAAATTAAGCTTTTTAATTATTAGTTCTAACTAACTACCTTTTTATGTAGATAAAAGCATCTATAGACTAGCTAAATTTTATATATAAAGATGCTTTAGACTAACTAAACTAATAACACTTTTATATAAAGCTTATCTTATTTTTTTTTTATTATACGCACTTATTTTTTTTATTATAAGATTAGAAAAAAAAGATATATAAAAAAGATAGTTTATTTATTTAGTATATAAAAAAAAAAAAAGCTACTACCTTTTACATATAGTAGTTATAATGTAGACTATAGCTCTACTATATGTATAAAGTGTAAGCATTAGCCTAGAAGTTAGCTAGCATGTAACACTTAATAAAAAAAAAGCACTAGTAGTGCTACTATAATAATAAGTATATAAAGTTACTAGAACTTAACTATAACTTTAGACTAAAACTATATAAAAGTACCTTTTATAACACACAACCTTTACTACTTATAGCTGTAGATTAGTGCTAGTAAGTAAAATAATATTAATATTGTCTGTACGCAGCAGCAGCGTCGCGGCCTGGATACAAGCGATCGCGCACGAGCAGGATCACGTATCTATGTCACATGATGCTTGTGCGCGAACCTCTGTGCACAAACATCTAGATATCCCCCTTTTCCTCTGTACAGAGGAAAGACAAGAGTAATAGAACTAGAAACATGTTGCCCTCACCTTACCTACCTTGTACGCTGTGCACACTGTACACCACTCTTACTCTTGCTACTTAAGTGCTTATACTATAAGCAGCTAGCTGTCAGAGCCTATTTAACAAATATTATAAAATAGTAAAGCTACTACATGCTGCTTTTTAGCCTATTTATAATTAGTATTTTATATAAAAAAAAAGTAAAAAAGCTAAAAAAATTTATATATTTATACTAAAATGCTAAATAAACTACTAATTAGTAGTAGAACTAGTTAAAAAAGTAATATAAATGCGCCCTAGGCTGCTAGACTACATAAGGATGTTAAAAACGCCCGCACTAACAGCGCTAGTAGTAGAGGAGGAAGGCTAGAGAGACATCTCTCTGTGTCTGTGTATGTGTGTGTGTGTGTGTGTGTGTGTGCAGGCAGGAGTATCTGTTACTATTAGCACTATATAAAAAGAGAAAAGAGCTAGGGAATTATATAGTAAAGCTTAAAAAGTAAAGAATAAAAAAAAAAAGTAAAAAAAAAAAAAAAATTTATTATATAACATACTTTATAGGCAAGTTGCTTACACACTTAAGTTACTTACTTTTACTAAGACCTTACTAAACTACTTTTTCTATACTAATGCATTCCCTACAACACTACTTAGATGTGCTAAAAGAATGTTAGATACAGCTTACACTTTAAGCTTTTAAATAAAACATAAAACTCTTAAAGAAATGTGCTATAGCTATATGTAAAGTCTTATAAAAAATAATAAATAACTATAGTATTAGATAACTTTTATAAGCTAATTCTACAGCTAAATTATAAAGGCTAAGTAATAAAAAGAAGTAGGTAATTATTAAAACTATACTTAAGCTATATGCATAAGGAATTTCCTCTTAAATAGCATTTATAGCTAATATAGCTAATTCTTTGCGCGCTAAGCGTAATCTAGGCTATGTTTGCATAAACTAGCCTAGTATATTTGTAAAGCGTTATTTAGAGCTTAAAGTAACATTTAAGTATAAGTATAACTATAAAAGAGCCTTCTATAAGAGTCCTAGGGTAATTTAGAGCAGGTTTAGCCTTGTAGAGAATATTAAAGCTAAGTATAGCATCTAGGATAATAACATATACAACTTTAGTAAGATAGAGTTTATAATTAGCTAGATATCTTTTAACTATACTTATACTTAAAACTTTACTTTAAGCTTTAAATAACACTTTATAAACGTACTAGGCTAGTTTATGCAAACATAGCCTAGATTACGCTTAGCGCGCAAAGAATTAGCTATATTAGCTATAAATGCTATCTAAGGGGAAATTCCTTATGCATATAGCTTAAGTATAGTCTTAATAATTACCTACTCTTTTTTATTACCTAGCCTTTATAATTTAGCTGTAGAATTAGCTTATAAAAGTTGTCTAGCGCTATAGTTATTTATTATTTTTTATAAAACTTTATATATAGCTATAGCACATTTTTTTAAGAGTTTTATGTTTTATTTAAAAGCTTAAAGTGTAAGCTATATCTAACATTCTTTTAGCATGTCTAAGTAGTGTTGTGGGGAATGCATTAGTGTAGAAAGAGTAGTTTAGTAGGGTCTTAGCAAAAGTAAGCAACTTAGGTGTGTAAGCAACTCGCCTATAAAATACGTTACACCTTTTTACACACCTGCCTACATAAAGATTTTACACTATTCTAGCATAAAACTCTATATAAAATAGCTTATATACTACTAAATTACTTATAAAGTAAGCGCATAAAAGCTAGATAATAATAGCCTAAAATACTTTATATTATTTATAAAGCTATTTATATAGTGTAACTAGCTTATTTTAATATATAGCATTACTAAGGCAAGTTTTAATAAATAAAGTAAAGTAAAGGTAAAATATAATTAAATAGACCTATATAAATTAAAAAAAAGTAATATGTATAAAAAGTAACTTTTTAGATAAAAAAAAAAAGTTACTAGTATTTATATATAGTAGCAGTGTTATAGTCTAGATATAAAAAATTATGCATAAGCAAAACTATATATCTATGTTATATAATACTTATGTGTAAACCTTTATATGTAAACATCTAGATATCCTCTTTTTTCTTTATATAAAGAAAAGATAAAAGTAATAAAACTAGAAACATGTTACTTTTACTTTACCTACTTTATACGCTGTGCACACTGTACACTACTCTTACTCTTGCTACTTAAGTGCTTATACTATAAGCAGCTAGCTGTCGGAGCCTATTCAACACACTCACCTATTTTTACCTTGTAATATATCTTTCTAAAATGCATGTTAATTATGTTATTCTTATTCTAAACATGTTAAAAATTTGTTACAATTAAATTAAGATGCCTACTTTTCAAAGAAGCTTAGCGCAACAGAGTTAGCAAATAAAGCTGCTATATGCCTTGTAGGCTTCTGAGAATACATTTAGGTAAGCTAGACAATATTATTAGAGACGACTTGCGCTTAGTAGAAGTTGTTTAGACATGTTTACAGGATAATAGTAAAAGGTAATGATACAATTAGTTAGGTAAGGAAATATAAATTTTTGTTATTAGAATTAACTTTAGTGTGGTTCACTTATCTAATAGTTAGCTAAGGTAATAGTATAGTAGGGTTACATGCAACTACTTATTATTACCTTATGCGGAATATGACAAGGGTGATTTCAGATTCAAATTTGCGCCCTACTGTCAAATTTTATAATTCTAGGAAGTGGCTTAATAGATCATCTCTGTACTAATTACGTTCCACGTTACGTGATAACATACATACTGTGTTACTTGGATGACTGACTTGTCCAGATGAGCGTTAGTATGAGCAGGACGAATGCATGCAGTACGCCGAATCGTGTGTATTTTGAACAGAGCTAGAACAGGTATGTGTACTAGCATCCTTAGATATTCTCCAGGCATAAATTTGCCAATACAACCACTGAAAATCCAACCCAGAGGATATCCCCAAAACGCCATGCGTGCAAAATACATCCATTCCCATCCTACTCCAAACTAAAGTTTCCGAATACATATACAGAATTCTTGCAAAATCCCATCCGATTCATCCTATCGCTTCAGCATATACCCCAAATCCGGCAACCCGTTCACAATCGTCCGAACGATCTCGTCTTCCTCCGCCTTCCGTCTTTGCGCAGAATTTGAAGCTCCAGTCAAGGGAAGCTTGGGGGGCGGTGTTACGGGTTGGGGTAGGGGACGTGTGAAAGGTGCTGATGGAATATTGGGTATGGGAGGGGCAGATTCGAAGATGGAGAAGGGGTCGGAAGGGTCGAGTGCGCGGGGCCCTGTGAGGGTGACAGTGGTGGTGGGAAGTGTGGATTCGAAGAGCGAGAAGTCGGCCTCAGAGAAGGGGTCGGAGGGTAGGTGTTCGTTTGGTGGGGGAGGAGGTGGAGGTGGCGGTGGTGTGGAGGCCACGGGGCTAGGTGGGGTCTCTAGGTTCATAGGCGGAGGTACGGAAGACTCGAAATCAGAGAAGCCGTCAGACTCACTAGTGTAGAAATTAGGCGGGGCTGGTTTCTGATATTCCAGTTCTTCCGATTTGGATGATGCTCTTGGCCTTGCACGGGTCTTTTCAGGTGTAGAGTTAGCAGACTTCGATACCGGTTTCAATAGCTGAGGTCCGATAGGCCCAATTTCCGTCGTCTGTGGGGGAAGGCCCTGGAAACCGAATCTTGCTGACGTTGGGGAGACTGTGCTCTTAAGCCGGACAATTGGTGACGCGTGGCGGGAACTCGGAGGTTGGGAGGGAGATGGCCTGGTAGCTTTCGGTGTAGTGGATGGGGTTGATGTGGATTCTGGGGGGTTTCCTGCCGGTTCGTTTTCTGGGAGAGGAGGCGGAATCGAGGTTGCAGGAGATTCCACCATTTCACCCCAGTCATCTTCATCGTCTGTAGCGACAGGTGCCAACTTTGACTTATTCTCTAAATGATCGATATCGTGCAAAGACACCGCATCCATGGATGGTTTCGGATTGCGGAAGGAGACTGCAGGCTGTTCTGTCACGACCCGGGTACCCGGAATTGGTGTATCTCCTATTAAGATGCTGGAGGCTTGGCCCGCAGGCAAGGGAGGCTTAGGTGCATTCGTCTTCGTCGCAGCAAAAGGAAACGAGGTGGCTGTTCTCCTATGATATGGTTGTTGCGGGCCTCGATTAGTGAGATCTACCGACACTGAACGCACTTCATGTCCTTGAGCTCTCGCCTCGGGGATGCGTTTCGACGCAAAGGGCGAGGACGTTGAGCGAACGCTCGGATTCCGCTGCTGTGAAGGGTCTTGTGAAGCCGAAGGAGTAGAGCTCCAACTGAATGATGCTGCGGGCACATTGGTTGAAAAGGGTTGCACAACCTGCTTAGTCGGTCGAATTGGAGATGTGGTAGGTATAGAAGACTTCTTGTATGGATGAATGCTAGTCATGTTGGGAGTAGGCGAGGGGCGATGATCCCAGTTGAATCCAGCACCCCCGGCCTGTCCACGGCCTGAGATCAGGTCCTCGGAGGCCCATCTCCCCACAATTTTAGTAACTTCAGATCGAATATGTGAGGTTTCCCAAGTCACTCGCACGTAGTTGTCATCGTCGTTGCCGCTGTTGAACTCCCGCATTGTCTGTTTCCGGGTCAGTCGATACCACGCTTTGCGGGCGGACGTTGTTGATATGGGATCGTCGGGGGTGGTTGGCAACTCCTCTCTGGGCTTTGGAGGCGGAAACAGCTGGGCTACTAGGAACAGCTCGGAATCAGGGGCTATAAATGCGGGCGTTTCTATAACCGCCCGCTTAGGCAAGGTATCCTGCAGAGAATCTCGAACGTGCCCCAGGTAAGCCTGTTTGGGAATCTCACTTGAGTCTCGTGATGGTATCTCATCCTTCCATGGGGGCTCGTTGTTCTCATGATGATCGTCCTCAAACTCTCCAAAGTCATCATCCTCGGAGCTTCCATTTGCAGAGGATCCAAGCACCGGACAACACGCATCGGGCTCTTTCGCTTTTTCCTCGTAGTCTTCGGGTATAAATGTCCGACGCTCATCTTCGAAGGATGTTCGCGGTGACTCAACTGGAGCGTCTGTCTGGCTGACGTCGGACGGCGAGGTGGAAGGTCTCGTGGAAAGATCGTCATCGACTTTTGGAACGCCTGGAAAGTCATGTGAGGACAGGTCAGGGATATCGTCTGGTTGGATGGTTGTTGCTGAGTCGGATGCCTCTGATACTATGTTCTCCTGCTCCTCTGCCAGGCTTCCCCACCCCCCATCATCCATTCCATCCCTCCGTACTACTTCGAGGGGCTCATCGTGCTCAGAACTGCCCCACTGTGCATCATCTATGAATCCACCCAGAAGCACGGCGCCCGTGGGGAGCGGCAGCGGTGTCTTTATCTCGTCCTTCTGCGGAGATGTTGTGTCGCCATTATCGGCCCAAGGGTCGCCCCAGTGATCCATCGTCGGGGCTGTAAATCGAGCGTCATAGTGGGTATGCTCAGAGAAGCATCCTCACTCACCAGCGGATGTCGCGCTCAAGTCGATAAGAGAAGGAACAATCGAGTGCTGGGTGCACTTGACGCCCGTCGGGGGGGTAGAGCCAGTGAGCCCGTTCACGTCGGAGGCGGAGGTGACCGCCAAGCCCGGGCCGTCTTTGTTTCCGCTCATCTCGAACGTGGAATGTCGGAAGGCTGCAAGCTTGATCTTGGAGCCCTACTCGCACTCGGGGTCTTAACCGCTCGTCATTCTTTGTTCTTGCACTCTGAGCAGAAAACATAGTTCCAAAATCGTATGGGGATTTTTGAAGTTGGACTGAAACTGCTCAGTGGACCAGGACAGAGGTAATTAAGGACAAATGTCCATACTCTATTTGTGCTCCCCTAATTCTAGCGTAGAGGTTTAAATAGAGAATCTAACCTACTCGCGTAGCTTAGTACACATGTTCCACGTGAAAGCATGCTGGAGTGTGAGCAGGTTTGCCAGCGCCATGCACTAGCCATTTTCGGCTAGATCCTTGGAACGATTCCCCATCCGCAGCAGTAACAGCTGCACTCAGCCTGAACCTCAACAGCAGTTTCTTCTCTCCGCCTTATGGCAGCCTTTCTGCTTCCTCCCGGCATTACCAGTGATAAGATATTCGATAGTGAAGGTGGAGATCTGGTCGAGCTGATTGAAGTGTCGAGCGATAATTCTTACCTTCGACGAACTGCCGTTACCGACAGGCTTTGTCAAGATTACATCGAAAAGGATTTCGATGTGAGTAGCAGAAGCTTCTTCATATCTACATGTCTAAATTGTCTAGGTTCACAGCACTACCTCGCATGCTACCACAAATCCCACATCGGAACACTTGAAGCTATTGTGAGTCTGCTTGATCCGTGCTCCCTAGCCGCAATGTATTGAAGATAGGTGGTAGCTTCTCCATTCGGCAAGGAAAATATGACGGTGCGATGGTCCCAATACCGATCTCCTCCAACATGTTCAAGAGGATTGCGCCATATGCCCGGATTCCTAGGATTTACCTGGAGTCACTCGCCCGCAAAACCGCAATCCAGATTCAATCGACACCACAACTTCCTCCTGACTTTTTGAAATGGTCGCCTGAGATGATCGGTGAAGCGTATCTAAGTCAGTCTCTTATATTGTCATGTGTGCCTTCCGCTAAGTTGGCAAGGCTTTATCATTCAACCCACCCCTGCACAGAACCGTGCATGCATCGGCTGCTCCTTCACATATCACTTCAAGAGCCGCCACATGTACGCTTTCATGCATGGCCTCAATAGCCCCAGTATTGAGGAATTCGTTAGAGAGCTCCAGGATATAGGAATAGCCGAGACATATTTCCTCATACCTAGCCTCATCATACATCGCAATCTTGAGCACTGTTTGAGCTCCTTGAATATCTGGCACGATGCAATATACGATTTTGAGAAGATTCTCGGGGTTAGAACTGATCACCGCCATTCTGCAGACCCCAAGATGATTGATTTCACGAGAATATCTCAACAGTTGAATGACGCTACCACTAACATGGCGTTCTTCGCTTGGCAATTTAAGAGCAATGAGAGATTACTAGAATTCTTAGACTCGATAGCAAGGAAGTACGAGAACCTAGCTGTAAAAAATGGATATTCGGCAAAGGAGGCCGAATCCACGAAAAACATCCTTCTAGAGACCCATGAATATATTCGCGTCTGGAATGCAGGGCTTGCAGATCGAGTTGATTACTTATCGAAGAGGGCACAAGCACTTGTGCAGACGGTGAGATTCTCAACCGAAGCTTTGCTAAATTTGTTTGACGAGGACTGGACTAGGTCTACAGCAGTATCGCGCAACGAGACTCTGCCAACAGTCTCAGCCTCGCGACAACGAGCACCAAGCTCGCTGAAACATCGCAGGGTGTCGCGATAGCCACATCGCGTGACAGCGCAGTGATGCGAATCATCGCTGCCATTACCATCTTCTTTCTTCCTGCAACATTCACTGCAGTGAGTACAATACCAGAAATCACGACGCGACGCTGGAAACTTGCAATCTTTCATCACTACTGACCACTACCTAGACTTTCTTCAGTACATCATTCTTCGACTTCCACGTTGGCCGTAGCCAGCCAGTATACTCCTGGTGGCTTTGGCTATATTTCCTTGTTACTCTGATATTGACTGCTATAACCATGGTTGGCACATGGGCGCTGTGGAAGAACAAGGAGAACGAGATCGCGAGGCAGTTTCCCAAAACCAAGGGTTGAACGATTCATAACTCTGCTCTAGAACTTTCCGCCTTCGCCTAGTTCAAAGGGAATTCCAGCAAGCTTCTCCTTGGAATGGTGACCATGTGGGTAGTAGTGAAGTTGTAGCTTGCCCCTGGTTTATTAGGCGTTTGTGATCTGCCTTGGCGGTAATAGACCTACTACCGATTTCTCTTTAATTGTTTCCAAATTGCAGCTGGCGCTTGATTGAATCATTAGCGCAGGCTGACTTTACGACAATTGGGGTTCTTTCAAGCCGCATGTTTTTCTTGGGTTTTCAGTCAAACCGGGCAAGCAAGTGTCTGATGACTTCGTTTATCGCTAGATTGTTGTCATTTGACTTGGTCATGGGGACCTACTAGAATGAGTGAATTGAAGTCGTTCTTCACAGGCATCCCCTATTTAAGGCGACCGCAAGCCCGCTTTTTCTAACCTTCATATCGACAGAGTAGGCAACTATCATCGAACGATCATGGCTTCTCAAGACCTGGATCCGACTGAGCAACGATTGCTTCTTAACGATGCAAAAGTTGCGAAGGAAGTTATCAACTTCATCGACAACGACAGGAAGTGCAAGGAGCCCGAGAGGACTCTTTCTAGGGCCATTCCCAATAAGAGACTTGTGCGCGTTTTCGGGATCGACAATGTTTTCACCAACCAAGACAACCCGAAGTTTCGAGGAAGCTTCGTAACGAATTCAATACAGAAAATGAAAACCGCAGTAAACATCTCGGTTGACCCTAAGGTGGAGAATTGGGAAATGCTCTGTGCAGCTGCGAAGAGGCACGTGGAAGAGTTCCTCCAACAAGCCGGCAACATTATCAATGTTGCTGAACTCTCACAATATACTACACTTAAACTTTCTATAGGCTACCTCTTCCCTGGTACCGAAAACACCCTGAATAAGGTTGGATCTTTCCAGAACATCCAGATAATTGGAAAAAGAATCAATGAGTTATGGATAGCTTCTAAAAAAGACGACAGCAATACGTGGGAAAACGAGCTACTTATTCATGAAGCTCTCAAGGCGGTTATTACTCCTTCGGTAGCAAGTGACGACACAAGCTCATCCACGCGCGATCCACTGGACAGGAAGGGAAACCCAATGAACTTCCTGCTTCCAGCATACGAAACGATGTGGAGGGTGGTGATGAGGTGTCTCCTGGAGATACGATATCGTGGAGCAGAGAATGGTCAAGCGTGGAGTAGAATTCTTCGAGACTACATTGACAACCTGCAAGATTCGGGCGTGGTAAGCACCTTCCGGAGTCCGGGCCAGAATGGGACATCGGCGCTGGACATTGTCAAAGAAGCCTTGAGGCTGTATCCCCCAAGCCGCCGTATCCACAGGGAGTTCGATTCTGGAGCGCAGAGAATAGATATTGAAAAAATCCATAGAAGCAAACTCCTTGGGCAAGATGATCCTCTCGTATTCAGGCCCGAGAGATGGCAGAGTATCGGAGCTGAATTCAGACCACCACAGGTAGCGGTTGATGACGAGGTAGCGAAGACCAGGTTGAGGGAATTAGAAGAGGAACTAGGGTTCATGCCTTTCGCGTTCAGGTGTCCAGCTGGTAAGGGTGAGACGAGGGGCTTTGGGTGGAAGATGATCGCGCTTTTGGTTGGCGTCATAAGCGATGGACTAGATTCTGACTGGGAGTTGAAGAATGGCGGGGCCTTGCCACAAATAGGAACACCGCTAGCTTCGGATAGAGAGGCATATACAGACTTGGAGCTGAAGAGGAGGACCTAGGGACATTATCTGGGGATTGGATTGAGAGATGAATGAATTTGGGATGGGATTACTTAACTAGTCGTGTAACTCGACTTTGGGTCGCTGTTTACGGTTGCACTGTATTATCCGAATAGAGAATAAGCAAACTCAAGACTCTATTAATAGAAGATAGACCTGTATTCAGTATAATTCCCTTGTCGCTGTTCCTCTATGTATACCTGAAACTATGCTCCTGTATAAAAGGGTGCATGATCGGCGGAATGATGGCATGTCCATCCTCCTGCTAGAATTCAACGGATTATAGGAGGATGGTAATTCCTGTCACAAATCAAATATTTGATAGAGAACGCCATTCTTGCTGTTTACCGTTCCTTTAATTCCTACAGGAACTTATGACTTCATTACCAACGGAAATAATATCTCCAACTGCATTAACACCGAGCCTATTCGTGTGAAGGCACTAACTCTAGAAGTGGGAAAGACGATCGACCAGAGTGCTTAAAAATTTCGTAACCAATTGTGCGATTTGCTTGATCTGCTTATTGAGCTCTCAAAGAAGGACGATATTGGGATGAAGTACTAAAGTCGTTGCTTAATGAGTAAGAGAATGGGTAGACGAATCTTGCGAACTGTTTGGAAGTGATTGCTTGAAATTACGGTAGGACTTGGTGACCTAATTTCTCGCACAGTATAGATGCCACGAGGTTTTGAGAGTTGTAAATATATCGGGCATGGAGATTAAAGAAGGCATGCGATGGGAGGCTAAGGATGACTACATCTGTAGTGCACACAGCGCTTGGCAACAAAATATGACGGGGGTTAGGGCAAGCTTTCGCCAAATCTAGAAGATCGGAGTAAGAAATAGAGATGTGTATGATTCTCTCGCAGTTATGGGCTAGGAAAACATGTAGGTTTTTGCGAAAAGCGGAATCAGAGAGACAGATAATCTCGAGGTTGTAACTGCCTATTACGTTAACGTTTGGTGGTCGGCACTGCTCGGTCGGCATCAGATTTTTCGGATAGGCTTTCTTGGCCCTTTCTTGGGCTCATTTTTCCTTCCAATGGGTAAGTGTAACTGGAGTTATGGGCATATCGTTGTCGATGAGGGCCTCAACTTTCTAGCGAGCACTATGGGAAGGTAATATTTGGTTGTTTGCCATCTTGAAGGATGGGATTTGATTGGTAATGTTTCGGAGCTGGAACTTCGAATTAAGATAGGAGGTGAGGGTAAGCTAGTTTTCAGATTCGGGCTTGTTATGGTTATGGTGTCTGGGTCTAAAAGGTAAGGTCGATTGGATTTGGCGGCAATCTAGTACGTGAACTGGAAGAGGTGCCTTTTGGACCCTTTGAGGAAATTCGAATGCGTAGCCCTCTCTGGAAAGAGGTTGTTTGTTCCTGGTGCTGTGTAGTGATCATGGAAATTGAGAAAGGCCTTTTTTTTCTTTTTCTTTTCGGAAACAATCCTGGGGTTGGGGCACGCTTACGTTTCATTGCCTAACGTGGAGCATGGTAGGGTAAGTTGGATCCCGTTGAGGTATGTACCCTTGATTCTGGCAAGCCGCTTAGCTAATCGAACCTGCCCTTCCAAAATTCCAAAGAGGCGCGAATCTACTGTACGCTCTGGTGGTAGCTTAGATGCGGCATTTGCTTCTTCCTTTCCTTCATCTTTCCATTCCTCTAATTTCCTAGCGCCATTTATATTCCTCCGATGTCAACTACAGCGCCTCCATTCAGCTCGCTCGCCCCACTGTCGTTCGTGGAGGGGTCTGTCTGCTTCTTTTTCTGTTGCTACCTTCTTCTCTTCGCACGCACTATCTAGACCACTTCTTGGCTTAGGGATCTGCATCGTCAGTGATGGCAGATGAAAGTCCCGTTAATATGGGATCACCGTAGTTTGGTCTGAGCACGTAGCATAATATCACGTGCGAAACACGGGGCCTGCATCTGTTAAGCAAAACCGGTGTCATTTTTTTTTATTTTAGAGAAGCGGTGAAGAGAAGGAACCGAAACAATCACCTAAAGTGCCCTTGCCTGAATTATTACACCCCGTGCCAAGACCCATTGCGACCAAACCTGATTGTACATTTCCTGAAGAACCAAAGACATTTTGTGGACGGGAAAGAAGAGGTGGAACATCACCGCATCCGCACCGTATATCATGGATCCAATGAAAGAATCGAAGACACTGTCTCCCCCCTACCAGATACGCGCTTTTAGGCGAACATTGTAAGTGGGTGGTCCATACCAAGGGCTCCTCCCTCTGGCGGGACCTCGTAGGTCATTTCTTCCTCTTCGATACGAATAACCTCGAGATCCTCCGGGAAGTCGTTCGCAGATACCTTTGCAATTGGCTCTTGGGCGCCCTCAAGCATCTCCTCCTGAGCGGCCATCTCAGTGTCCTCGAAGAGGTCGTCGTCATTGGCGCCGTCGACTTGTCTTGCAAACTGCATCTCTACCTGGACTTCTTCCTGGAGCTGGATCTCCTCTTGGATTTCCTCCTCGTTGTTCTCCTGCTCTTCGTGGATCTCCTCTTCATGGATCTCCTTTTCGTTGTTCTCCTGCTCTTCCTGGATCACCTCTTCATTGTTCTCCTGCCCTCCCTGGATCTCTTCCTCATTGTTCTCCGGTTCTACCTGGCGCTCCTCCTCTACCTGGGCCTCCTCCTCTACCTGCATCTCCTCATCTACCTGCATCTCCTCCTCTGCCTGCATCTCCTGCTCGGCCTGTGGAACTTCCTTATTCGCAGCAACCATATCGTCTTCAGCTTCGGCCTCCTTCCGCAGTCGCGCCAAGTATTCCTGCATCTCGTTACTGAATTTAGACTCGAATTCCAAGCGTGTGAAGCCCTTCCGAAGACGTGGGGCGCGTTTGGCGACGGCTGCCTTCGCTACCTTGGTCACGATTGTCTTCCTCGTCGCTAATGTAGCCTTGTCTGCCTTGGGCGGCCTACCGCGACGCTTCGCCGGGGTTCTGACAGATACGTGGGCAACTGCCACCTTCTTTGGGACCCGTCGGGCTGGGAGCTTGGAGCGTACGCGCGGATCCACGCGACGAGGGATCGTTGCTGACGCGACGGATTTGCGAGGACGTCCTGGGGACCGCTTGGCGGTTCGCGTGGTGGTGGTGGCAGGAGCCGTGTGCGCATTCGATTGGGCGACCTTGGGCGGGCGACCTGGTCGTCTCACAGGGATTGAGGGAGTCGCAGTGATGGTGTCCTTGGACGGACGACCTACTCGCTTCTTCGCCGGCGAAACAGCTTCGTCATTCTCAGCAGGCTTGACTTGTTTCGCCGGACGTCCACGACGTTTCGTCGGCTTCTGAACGCCTTCAGATCGCGGAGCAAGCACGTCAGGGACTGGCCTTGCGGCACGGCTGCGTCCTGCTCTTGCTCGTGCAGTGATATCGACTTTCGCGTCAGTGTTAGCTTTTGCGCGGCCGCGGCCGCGTGTTGGGGTGGTTGGCGCCTTGGGAGCCATGGTGCGTAAAAGTTGGGTTATTGTTGTGGAGAGAGCATGGCGGCGCAATTGAGGTTGGAAAGGCTAGAGAAGGCATGCGCCGCATCGCTAGCGTGCACCCGGGAGCTTCCCTCAGTGGCACGTGCATTCGCCAAAGAAACCTGAACTGTTACCTGAGAAATCTCGGTTCCACCTTCACTCTTCCTCCCCTCGTCTCCTTCACTTCATCCAAGTGAGATAATAGGGTGCTACGAACGGGTTCGCTGGTCCCTTTTTGAAATGCCCACAGAATGATGCTAGATATCTGATGTAAAACCTGTCTCTCTACCCTTTCTCCTTCTCCTAGGAACTGCTGTCCTCCCAACCACCAATTTCCTCCGCATCGGACCTCCGTAATTTGAGGTAAAATGTTCTGCATAATCCGTATGCATTGAGAAAGAATGCCGAGGAGCCGCAATCCTTGGTGCCGTGAGAGTTATGTTCACTGCTTACCTCATCTCTTCAATCTTCACCTCCGCCTACCTTTTGCATTGCTCCGGACGACACCACGAAAGCGGGGTATATGTCACTCTAATGCAGTTACGCAGTATTTTAGGGATAGCGAGGTGGAGCTGACAGCTACCCCTCACGGAAATAAGGGTGAACGGGTGTCAGAGCGGAAGGGGCCCGAGGCCCTAATTATCTTAGATACTCACCTCGTGGACTATCCGACAAATGTAACAACGAACAAGTGATTGACCTCTACGTCCCAACCATCCAATATGAGCAACCTCCTAGCAAATGCTGGTGTTCCAGCCTTCAAGTGCCCGCCAGGCACCAAAATGCACCTTCTGGATCTAGGTACTCTCACAGTCGACGAGGGATGGTAAGGAGTCGTTCCTTCTGAGCGGAACGGGACCTGACCGTGTGCAGGTTAATGCGTGGTGCAAACTCGAGCTCTCTGAGCAACAAAAACCCAGAGAATAAGCAACGCGATCTCGTAGTCCTCGCTGCGCTTATTGAGCATCCGCAAGCGGGCCTCATTCTCTACGAAACAGGGTGTGCTGAAGACCTCGAAGTGGTGCGCTATGTCTCCAACAACTTCCTTCCAAATCCCTGACGAGATGTTCTTTCAAATAGAAATGGGGAGCTCCAATTACGGATCTCTTCCCGCGGACCCAATATAAAGAGTGCAATCGACTCCCGGACGCCATCAAAGCAACAGGCAATGACATCAAAGATGTAAAAGCCATCATCATAGGCCATCTACATTTAGATCATGCGGGTGGTTTGGAGCACTTCCTCGACTCGGGCGTCCCGATTTACGTCCACGAAGAGGAATTTAAACACGCCTGTTGGGTACGAAGTTCTCAATTCAAACTCGATATGTTTGTCTTAAAGTCGCGCTAATTATCCGAGATACCATCCAGGTGGTTTGGTAAGATATATACAGCGCATTTTAAGACAGGATATAGAGGTACCAGACTCCCTCTTTGGACAAAATATGCTGACTCGTACCTCCACCTTGGCAGGCAGTGGCAACAAAAGCCGACTTCGGCGTCTACGTATATCACTACATGGACTTAGAGCGTCTAAATTGGAAGACATTCCCAGATTCCACTCTCGACCTATTCCAGGGCATCACGCTACACCACTCGCCGGGACATACACCAGGACTGTGCATCATGCAGGTCAATTTAGAGAAAGATGGCACATTTATCTGGACAACCGATCAATTCCATATCAAGGAAAATTATGAGTTGGCGGAGCCGCATGGTTGGTTGGCGAGAGATCATAATGCGTGGATCAGGAGCTTGGGGATGATTCAGAGATTACAGAGGTTGTTCAACGCGACATTGATATTTGGACACGATAAAGAGGTGGCGGATGAATTGACAAAGGTAAAGAAATACATGGAGTAAGGTGAGAGAAGTATTGAAGCAGCCCTTCAGATATTGTAAGCATCTAGATAATCTACTATTTGCCGCAAAATATTCCGTCAACAGTGACGATTGTGCCGTTTACAAATGCGCTTGTCGCGCTGTCATCGATGCAGAGTGAGTGACTTACCCTAGAGCAATAACATTGGCTTGAATCCCTCTTCCAGCCCACTCATTACTGAAAGCCTTCGTCATGTGTACCACCGCCCCTATGTCGAGCTGTAGACACTTGTCCTAAAGCCAGCCTGATGAGCAATATCAGAGGCGATATTAATGATATTCTCAGGCCTATTCTCCGAAAACAACTGGCGTCCGAATTCCTGCACCGAGATGTATATCGCTCGTTGATTAACGCTCACTATCTACATTCATTAGCACTACCCCCACCAATCAAAACCTCCCTCTCTTCAATGGGTAATCACAAATCAGATCAATACCTCATCCATATCTTCGCATTTATTCCTCCTCATCACACCAACCACATTAGCTAATATGTCTGGCGAAACCCTGCTTTTCCAGACCGAGACATAGCATTCTCGCAAGCTTTTCGACGCAGTGTGCTTTCGACCAATTTCTCTGATCGTTTGAGAGAGCTGTGAAGATCATGGGTCGTTTAGGACTTCGATGGATACGGTATCCGCCCCGGCTTTTGCGAGACCGATGGCCATGGCGGAACCTAGGCCGCCGGTTGCCCGGGTTAGGATTGCTGTCTTGCTTGATAAGCCGAAAAGCGAGGTTAGGTACTCTGAAGGGATTTCTACATGTGAGGCAAATTGTGAAGTCGGGTTGAAACTGGAGCTGGATCGGGAAAGATGCCGGAGGCAAGAACTGTGCGTAGTTCATGTCATGTTGGGATTGAATGCAAGCGTTGACAACATCCTGCATTGCCCGAGGTAGGATGTCTGCTCTCCGCATTTACTCCGCATTGTCGGATCGTCGTTTATGAGGCACCCCATGTCTTCTCCACTGCGATGGAAGTGCTTTCCGCTGTAGCCTAGACTCATGCTAAACGGGGGGCTTCCTTCGAGTTAGAATTCTGCGAATGATATTCTTTTGTGATCACCTAGCGCGGAGAACCCATGCCTCTCTCCCCAGGTAGATCTTTTCCGTTGAATCATCAACGGATGTACGAGAAAGCTGAAACATCCTTTGGAGGTTGTGATTTGATCATTCATCGCGCAAGAAAACCCCTTTAGGAATGAATTGCTCTCCCACCACTGCTTCACTTGATCTTAAAAAGATATAGCTCCATTTTGCTTCTGCGCTAAGCTCGAATTCGAGACCTTGAATGAAAACATATGTATTATTACAGCAGTCTTTGAGGTAAGCTAACAAGTCAATGCGTTGGTAACTCTCTTCCGGGCACGGGCATCCTTTTCTTGTAAGTGTCGGAATTTAAGACGAATTGCAGAAAGTACGATCAGAGCATGAACCAACAAGCCATGTGCCATTGCACGCAACATGCAAACCATTAAGTCTCCTAAACTAGATTCGGGATAGTGGTGGGTTTGCAACAGGCTATTAATACTCTCCCCCTCTCGAATTGACTTCTGTGCCTGCTTCTGCTGATTTTGTCCCTTTGGTATTGATTCAGTACCAGATTCATCCTTGACCTGTGCTTGCTGAGGTAATTGTTGAAGTTAGTGTAGTTTTTACTTCCCAAGCATTGTTATCTCACGCCCCACCTTCCTCCCGCTTTCCCGGCTTTTTCTCAGGCCCTTCATCTGCCTCTTCTACCTTCAACTGGCAATATTCGAGGTCACATCCACTATTTATTTTCAAGTTCTCTATTCCAAATTCCTCCGGAATCTTTTCACCTACCACAATCGGTCGTGTGGAACAGGGTCAACTCATGCCGACCACACCATATCAGTACTCATTCCTATCCATATTCGGTTTATGTGAATGCCGAATGAATGGTGTGAAGTTACCATATTTGGTGGCCTCAAGGTAGCATATGGTGTCTTCACCTTCATCCTTTTCCGCATACTTTCGGCCGATTTTGATGTCGATACGGCGCTTATGAATGTCGGTCTTAGAGCGGCTAGGTGGTGGAGAGAAGGCCCTATTGGAATTGCCATCTAGAGAGAATTCTATATCGGGCTTGAGTAGATAATCCATTAACCGGTGGGATAGTTCGTGGGAATATATTCGCGAGTGAAGGAGCCAACCTCGTAGAAGCGCGTGTGCCAATTTGACTGTCGATTTCGCCATGTCTCGATGTTATAGTCGCATATTGCTTGAGCACTTTCTTGGATGCGTTCTAAATTCTCTCCTGGGTTAAATTTATTTTCTTCATCGTCACCGCCGTCGTTAGGGTCGATAGCGGCATCCCTAAGCTCTTTAAAAGGACCAGGCATTTTCTGTAGCCCTTTGGTTTTTGGTTTATCAGGCCTGGTAATTCCACAACAACAACTTTTTCATTCCGATTTGTCACCATCACGCACGCTTTAAATATTTCGCCCATAACATTGATCATGGCAAATTCACGGCATTTGAGAGCGCCAGCATAAGCCTCTTGACAAGATATCAAGCGTTGGCCTTACTGCTAATACAGTCAATACATTCTTCTTCTAAACCAGCTTTGAGGGCCTCCTCTCCAAGGCGGGCGGCCTCTTGAACCCCGCAAAATTACGTGGCTTGGGAAGATCCATCCATTCACTAGTGTTGAACTGGTGGCGGTACCGACTTCATTGGATGAAAGAAAAACTTGCTGGTGAAGAAAGCAGATGATCTGGCACCCGTGGCTATGTTGCCTGAGGCAAGACTTCGCTTCCTTCCATTTTTCATTACTGTCACTTCCTTGGCCCGCATGTTATAAAGTTTGACCTCATCGGCGTTGGTGCTGAAGTCTCTCTTTGTGAGCTTAGTAACGGTGGGCTTGAGCGGCGGGGGAAGACTATGATTGCTTCGGGTCTGGTTCGACTTCGGAGAGAAAAATGTTGGGCAGATGTCAACATTGGAGGGGTGGAGGGAGTGGGGTTTCAGTCATGAAGGGAGTGAAGGATGGGGTTGTATCTCAGGAGGGGCTTGACACCTCTGACGCCATAGCTCGTTCACATAATTTCCCAGACTTCGAACGACTGTATTGTAAATAATTGGGTCGCTATAGAAGACATTCACACTATTCCTTTTAATGTTGGTTAAGATGCCGGTGGTAGGAGTTCTCTTCTGCATCACTATTCTCTTATAAATAACGGGTAGGATTCAAGCTGGTCAATCACCTTAATTTTGAACCATGACTGGAGACTAGCTATGTAAATCCGTATCGGTTACAGAAATGACTTGACGTTTAATTAAAGCCATAGGAAAGTGAGGTACTGAATTGTGGAACAAGTTTCTCTTTGAGACCGAGAAATCGTCATTATTCCGGTCGGCAGTGAGCTGCGGCGGAGCTCGCGGTGGAATAATATTATGGCGTGAGAGATTGTTTGCTACCACAACTGGTACGCACATGTCCAAAATGCCATGAAACCTTCAATACTTTAGAACTAGCGTACTTTTCACGCTATGAGACAATCCTAAGGTCGCGCATCAAGCGAAGTTCAATGTGTGCTGGCAGATCTCTATCCCCCGAAGCTGGACGTTTCGTGTTGCATCAACTTCCGGGTTAGCCGTCCCTGGAACCATATTAGCTGTCGAGTTTCTTACTCAGTTCTGACTGACCATTCCACCAATAAACCCTCCATTTCCGTCCATCTAAGTCATCTGGCTGAGTCCACCACCCTCCATGATCATATCCGTGCTCTAACAGCATTACACCATCGTTCCCTTCGGAAATATTGAAGGACCATCTCGCTGTTATGTAGACACTAGGCCAAGGGGTTCCAGGGTATCCTCGCTTGGCAACTTCCTTTGGTTCTACAATTAAGGAGAGTCGTGCTGGCTCAGGGTCCCATTGGTAGAACTTGCGGCCAAACAGGATTAGTTCAGCTGTGGAATTCATGAATTCATACCCAGGATTTTGAACAGAGTCTGCAGTCATGTTGAATTGCCACGGCATTTCTGAAGGGGTGTTATAATATAGGGTCGCTACGAGATCGGTGCTGTCATCCTGCCTTAGAAATTGTAAATCTAGGACAGAAGAAGGATCGGTTCTAATCCCCAAAGTGAGTTGCAGCGTTGGAAGTAAGTAATAAGTATCAAAGACTTACGTCCGGATTCGGAAAACATGAGGATCGGCTTTAGTCAGAGTACATTGGAAACATATGAGGAAAGTGGAGAGGCCAAGTAGCCAAGTCACGACGGATGTCTCCATTTCGAACCGAAGAAATAGGTAGACCTACCAAAAGGTTGATGATATTCTGTGCTCTTAATAGAGCATTGCCGTCCCGGTTGTTTGGATTCGGACACATTGCGTTCTTGCGGACATCCCGTAGAACGAATACGGGTAGATAAATGAAAATTAGGGTAACCAGAATGGTACAGTATGCTACGGAAGGTTACATCTGACACTTTACGCTCAGCAAACCCTTTATTTCGAAGACCTCCCGCACCAGGGAAGGGAGAGCTGAGTCGAAATCAGAACTCGAGGTTCATTATCTCAGCTAGCTCAGACGTGAGGAGAGAACCGAGGACGCACAAACCACCATGCATATTGCTACTCCAAATAGAGTATGGCCTAGGGGTTAGCAGTTTCTAACCCCTGTTAGTAGCGTTTCTCTCCTTAGCTGTCTAAGGGACTTTTATAATTTTTTCTATAAATAGGCCTATTTTAAGAGCATTATAATAGAATTAGATTTATAATATCTCTACTACTATATGTCTAAATAGGCTTAGAATTTAATAGAATATAGAGACAAGCTATAGCTATAAAATAGTATATTTTTTACTAAATTCTAACTATTATTAGTAGAGAAAAATCTAAACGCGCGTAAAACTTTAACTTATCTATACCCTAATTTTAAATTTATAGTATTACCCTCCTAACTAAAACTTAACAACTAGTAGACTAAATTCCCTAGAATTTTACAAGATCCTTAATAAAGCTAGTCTAAGACAGCTTTTAGATCTTTAGAGTTCTTAAACAATAGCTAGTTAAGCTGCAGATATAAAGGTAATTACAACATCTCTAGACTACTATCTACTAGACTACAGCTTAATAACTAGTAGACTAAATCTTCTAGAATTTTATAAGCTCTCTAACAGAGCTAGTCTAAGATAGCTTCTAGATCTTTAGAGTCCTTAGATAATAGCTAGTTAAGTTAGAGTAAGTAAGTAATTAAGCTAATTACTTTTATAGCTAAAGCTTAATAACAACATAATAAAATTAGCTAGATTTTAGAATAGTATAAAAATAAGCTTGTCTTAAATAGGCCTTAAATTCTAATAATAATATATTATATAGTTAGAGAGTTGCATTAAGGTGTAGTTATAGAGTTATTATAATACCCTATGTAGGACTTAGTAACGCAGTACTTTACTAAATCTTGTTAAAAACAGGTTACAAAAATAATAGAATATAGCTAAAGACTTTCTTTATTACCTATTAAAATCTAAGCTAGTTTAGATGTATAGTAGTAAAGCTATAATAATTCTTAGTTAAGCTAGTGTATAGTAGAGGAGGTTTAGATCTATAATATTACCTAAAAAATTACAAAAGTCCTTTAGACAGCTAGGGAGAGAAAGCCTTTCTTATACCCTTATTAGCTAGAGAGATAGGGCTTGCGCTACTAAGGCTACTAGCTAGGGTTCCAATTGACTAGCAGGGGCTTGCCCCTGTCAAGGCTCTCTCCCCATCCCGTCTGAGCTTGCTGAGATAAGAGGTTCAAGCTGACTTGCCTTGTACTAACCCAAATTATCTTTAGCGTGTTTTGGACACACCTTCGGCAACAAATCTTTAGAACTCCCGACAACGATCATTACAAAGCATACACAATATATAGGGTATTACCAACAAGAATTTGAATGACTGAGAACCTTTATGACTTGAAATCCCATCGGCTCTTCCTTACGCCTTCATCCGTTCTATCCCGCTACAGCATCTCAATAAATCACGAGACTCATAGGCTAGAAAAAGGTAATCTATAACTTTACGGTATTGTCTATAACTTCCTCCTTTTTCTCCAGAAGACCAACAGGCCGCTTTGTAAACTAAATTCACTGACACTCGCTGTTTCTCCTGGAGCAGGTTCTTCTTCTTTTGCTTGTATACTCGCAAAGAGCGAGGGTAGTCGAGTGGAATATGAACCCATCCTGCGCTGCAGCGCTACTTTAACGAGCTCATTTGCCTTCCACAAAGCTTCCATACAGCTAATCTAATAGTGAGAGATACGGTATGTAGCAACATTGACTCCCTGCGTACAGATTGCAACACTGATATCCAGGAGAGCATCCCAACTCTCTCCCCGCAATCGAATGAACTCATCCATATTCCATCCATTATAGTGTCCTGGAATAACTCCTTGTACCAGTTCTAGGGTCGTGAGAAGGTAAATGGGCCGGTGTATTCCTTTCTCTCGATTTCGTGGACCGCACAGTTGTTCCTGCCGCACACCAAACACGCACGACAGGGTGGACATGTGAATTTCCAAGCACCGAGGACTATTGCTTGGGATATCAGCTGTTCCCTGAATCAGCGATTACAGAAACAATGTCCACAAATAGTCTGCGTGGATGGCGGGCTGTGGATTCCCGGCAAATTAAACACTCGTCCTCGAAGCATGGGTCGCTTGTTAGATCAGAAACTAAACCTAGAAATTATTCAGGCGGAAGATCTTGAGACGATCGACATATGCTGATGCCATGGGATCCACAATAACGACTTCGAGACGATCAAAGGCCGATACTTGTCCAAGCTAACATCCTTCTCTTCGACGATATGCAATAGTGTATCTTCTTTCTGTGCGGTAATATGGAGGCGTTAACGCTTGCATCATGGTTAAGCGCAAGACTAAGAAAATGCTGATATCATGGAAGTATTCGCCAAGGGTACCATGCCCTGTTTCTTCGTAGTATTTTACGGCAAAGTCAAACTGAATCTCGGCACCGTCACAAGTCTCTATGTATGTCTTAGTTTTATCTTAATGGTAGTTAAAAGTTGAAGAAATCAGAGCGTGATCCTGTCCGAGTGCGAGAGCAACGGCCGAGGTCATGAGGAAATATTTCCTGGTGTCTTCGAAACACACCGCGAAGCTTCTAGGTGTCATTAGCCGGCGTCGTAAGGATATTTTGTGCCAGCAGGTCGCGCTATACGAAATGGTTGGTACATTCATGTTATGTGGTTTGTGGCCTTCATATTGCCCTCCAGCTAGGAAAAATATCGACTGACTCACATTATATAGGCTGGAGAGCAGGTGAGATATTCACCGTGGAATTCTCGACATTTCCAATTGAGGTTATATGGAGAAACATTGCTGGAGTAGCTGGATGGGACTGGGGTCCTCTTGATAACGGCAAGACCCCGGCTGCCGTGACAGATTCAGGGTAAGGTTTTCTCCAATCGGTCGACAGCGATGCAAGCTATTCTGAAAAATATAGCTCAATCTAGGTTACAGGCTCTAAAGATTCCAGAATGGACATGGACTAGCACACCTCTGGTAGTTACGTGTTTTGGAATTTGGTTCCTGTAACAATGCTTACGCAGCGAGATTTAGCTACCATATTGCGACTTAGTTAACGAATGTATCAGATCACGAATACACTGGTAGGCTAGCAAGTAGATACAAACGCTAAATTTAGAAACCTGAACGGCATCCGTCACAGAATTCTCGGTATTGCCAAAACTCCCCCAATGACTCCGGTAACGTAAACGGAATCATCAGTGCTTCCTCGCCAATTTAGAATCGAGGCCGAATCAGACCTGCAAACAAGCTAAATTATATCAGAGCTAGCCGTCAGTGTTTGGAACCTACCTGCGGCAACCCTCGAGGAAGCGTGTGTTTCACTCAATTATGGTCAAATTAGGAATGAGACTGATATGTACCGAGGCAGGAAATGACCCAAGTTCCTCTATTGAAAGCAGATGGCTTGTACTCTGTCCCCGGACCAGTGGATTCCTTCCACCGACGAAAATCACCCCCACGCATCATTCCTTACCATCTTCGTGAACAACGTTCTCGATCTCCACCTTCGGTCCGGTATACGTTTTCCTCGCTCTCAGTCCATAGTATGCCATCGACAAAATCACCACTCCGAAATACACGACCAAGCTCCAATTAAAAGTGTGAATCGTCACGGCCGCTACTGGAGGCCAGAAGCTAAAAATCCATCCTATGAAGCTGTAGATCAAGGCAACAATTGTAATCGGTACCCCCATTTTTCCAAGTCTAAAAGGCCCCCATGCAATGTTTGCGGAAGGTGTTGTAAGTCTCCGCCAGAGCATAACGGAAGCCGAAACCATGAAAGAGGAGTAAAAGCCTGCAACAGTAAGGCCAGTCAGAGCATAGAATGCTGTTGTGCTACCGAGCGGGATGAGAGCAAGGAGCAGAGAAATGAGGGCCGTGATTGCGATTGAGTAGATGGGAAGAGCAGTCCGAGGCTCGATCCTGGAGACGTATCTGGAAAATGGTACTCCATTTTCCCTTGAAAATGCCCACAGCATGCGACTCGCGGTAGCGATAAGCCCAATTGATGCAGATATACCCATCACGAGAATAATAGCCGCCTTTTGTGAAGTCAATATGCGATGGTCGATGATGGGGTGAAGTCATATACATACCAAGACAGTCGTACCACTCATCGAATTGGTTATGCTGCCTAGGATGAGAATGAATGGGTATGGGAAAGTTGATGTAAGAATCTCTTCTAGTGGGCCCATGCAAAAGATCAAGGCAATAAGCATCGCAAAGCCTGTAAAGCCATTGATGAAGACCGTCAAGATCATGGCACGTGGAATGACAACCGCTGCATTCTCAATTTCCTCGGCTACAACAAACGTCAAAACTTTAATCACAGAGCTTTTCGGACGGATGTACATACCCATGTGTGTAGCGGCATCAACTCCATTGAAGTTATACATCAGAATCACTGCCCCAACGAGGATGGACTCTGCGTTCGTTTTAAACCCTCCTCCGTTGATGACCGTATGGAAAACCACGTCGCTAGGAGTTTTAGGTGCCAGATAAACTAAAACAATCAAGATGGCAAAGAATCCAACAATGTGCAGGACTAGCACCATGGCCTCAAGCGAAGGGAAAATTCTCCCCAAATATGTTGTAACAAACACTGCGAGTGCAATAATGGCATAGAAAATGAGAACGGCATGCCACATCTGCATATTGTAGGAAGGGTAGTTGACCGAAACGATAGTGAGTAGGAGTGTAGCATCAATCCAGGTGGCCGAGGCAGCGGCAGCTTGCCAGGCAATAGCGGTAATCCACCCCGTAGTATATGAAAGGAAGTTCGAACAACTCTGGGGTGCAAGAATTGCTACCCAGTTATACTGGCCCCCAGAAAGGGGAATCCTAGGACACGTTTAGCATGGATTTCTACCACGAGGGTGACAACTCTACGAACATTGACGCCATCTCAGCCATCACCAAGATCTGCAAGAAAACGCCAAACATAACAACTGGGAAAGCGGCTATAGCGCCAGTCGGCCCCCCATTGATGAGCGGGGGAAGGAGATTTGCAACGGATCCCTCCCATGTGAGCACTGCAAATACGTCAGTAACCTTGACCAACTCATACTTTGCACTAATAGAATACATACTGAGGGTGCATCCTAGACCAAGAATTGAGATCAAGCCAAAGTTCCTCTGTTTGTGTCAACTAGAATAAATACACAATGCACTGGAAACCTCACCTTGAACTGCTGTCGCTTTCCAAAGTGAGCTAGAATTTGCTCGTCGTTCATCTTGCTAGACAAGTCTTCCACTACGACGGCATTGGCTTGGGCTTGGACTGAAGTCTTCTGCGTCGTCATTGTTTCCAATCGGTACTCCCCAGGATCCGCCATTTTCTCTTTCTCCAAACTTCAGAACAGCCAACGACCTGGAAAGAGTGTACGAGATGGTGTCCAAAGCTAATGTCTTCGCGGAGGTTTTTTCAATGGTCTTGGTATCAATTAAGAAGCAAGATAACTTACCTCAAATAGAATCGTTTAGAATTGGCGCCCACGTGTTGGATGCTCTCGAAGCGCGGCTGTAGAACATTTCCCTCCCCTGGGCCCTGCATGAACCAGAACTCCGTTGTTTAGACTCGCATATCGAGCTAAATGATACAATCTAAAATGCCCTGTCTTTGCAACGCTGACTGGAAGCTGTTAAGGTCCAAGCCCTTCCAGAGAAGGTTCCAAGAACTTTGTTGGTCAATGTCCGCATGCATATACGAAGTATTTGAGTGTTTAGACAAGGCCGGCATTGCGAGTTGCAGCGCTTCGTGGCACTCCGGTACGGTTGTGGAAGCATTGCATAGATTGTAGGGGAGGGGTTGGATCGTATTCCATGCAGGGTTTGGATGTGGATGCGGCAGAACTCGCATCCCTGCGAAGCCGAGCTGACGAGAACCACCCTTCATCCTGCAACATTTTGCGAGAAGTTTCAATAACGTTTCCCTCCAGCTTGGGCCACGAGCAGCCAGGAAACGGGTTAAGTCAGGTTATGCGTAATCTATTCCATTCATTTGGTAAATAGGTACGAGTGGGGATGTCCTGAAGGTTTCCCAGCCGCTATTTTGGAAGCGTTGAAGAAACATTTGTGATTCTTTGGATTTCGAAGAAGGTGCATCGTCGAAGCATCATGGAGTCTAGCGGAAGCATCGCCACATCTGACCATCTTGGTCCTCAAGTCAATATCGCCGTTTGGATATGCTTCATCATCTCTGGGCTCGCTGCGACAGCAAAGCTCTTGACCAAGCTGGGGAGATCGCACCGTGACTTCAGGTTCAGCAGCTTGGAACTAGATGACTACTTGATCACAGCCTCCATTGTAGGTCATACAGGAGAGTAATCTTCCTCAAAGTTGACTGCTAACCATGCGAAGGTTTTTGCCGCTGGCCAGAGCATCACGGTTTCCCAGCAGGTAGAGGCGGGTTTGGGCGACCATTTCACGACCCTCACATCTTCGCAGATAGCAAGATACGAGAAGGTATAATCCTTCAACTCGTTGTTATTTAATAGTCTAACATTTGCATAGGCAGGATTTGCGGCAGAGTTCCTCTACATTCTCGCGCTCGCGACAGCGAAAATTGCCGCGTTGCTCTTCGCACTAAACCTATCGCCACACTCAAAGAACAAAGCTGTGATAAATGGCTTGATAGCATTTGTAGGGGCCTGGGCACTGTATGCTTGAGTATCTTGAATGGTCATGGCAGAAAACACTGACTTTGGAGCCTAGTGTTTCCGTGTTTGGCATCGCCTTTCAATGCAAAGTCCCGCGTACTTGGACTCCTACGTCTGAAAAGTGCTTCAACCAGGTTCGCAATACTCTATGTGTCTCTTCAGGATGAATCTGATTGCATGTAGCCTGCATTTTGGGCATTCGTCGAAGCCGTGAATGGACTCACGGATGTTGCGCTTGTGACGATTCTCTGTACCATCGTCTGGATCCTCCAGATCACGAAGGCCAAATTCATGCTACTGTCAGTCTTTGCTGCGCGATCTCTGTGAGTCAAATGCTTCTTCCCCAACGTCGGTTTTGCGCTAATCTTGGAATAAGGGTGCTTATACCAATCGTCTTTCGCGTCGTGTATATCTTTCGTACTAGCTCCACCCCCGGCTCTCCTGAATGGGACCCTACATCGAAAGAGACTAGTGTCGCGATAGCCACCGCGGTTCTCATGAACGCCAGCATCGTTGTCAGCTGCGTTCCATTTTTGAAGCCACTGATGGAACATCTCCAGCCTGGTTGGTCAACAAGCGATGTGATTCGAGGAGTTGGGTACAACGTTATGTATGGAAAAAGCCAGTTCGAATCTGGCGCATACCCTATGGGCTCTGTGGTGTCAGGCCAAAGTCGATCCAACGCCTCCGGGAATCGGTCCCAGATCCGCACTCAGAGCTTAACATCACTGAATCCTACTGGGACCGCTGCGTATGCGGAAAGGACGGCATCACCTATGGGTGGCCTACCGTTGAAAGGCTCGGTCATACAACGCACAGATGTCTTTCACGTTGAGTCGCGGCATGGCTCTGAAGCGAATGGCTGACCCCTTTCGTAATGAATGTGATAGGGAATGCAGTACGCTAGGTTTGAGAAACGTGGAAAGGTCGAGGTTCAAATGGAGTGCTGTACCCAAACACTTAGATTTCTTGTAGAATATATTCATGTCCAGTTATATTCATCTAAGAGGTGATCACGGATTCGCGCCTGCAAGGGCAGGGTCCATTCGCGTTCACCAAATCGTAAAAGAACGCAATCGATTAAAATAGTGCTCAAAATGCTCAAAATGCTCAAAATGATTTCTACCATCTGGAAATCCATATCCCGGCTAGTTGAAGATTTTAATGGTGCGTTCCCACTTCAGTGAAGACTTGCAGAAAGAGTGCATGTCGCTTAAACCTGGCACAAACGCACAAGGATAACAGCCGCATATGATCACGGGAACCGAGCAACGAATAGTTTGTCTACAAATGGCAGTGGGACGAAAAATGCTGGTATCTCGCTGGTTTCATCGTATTTATGGGCTGAGTCAATGTTTCCCAGAGGTGATTTAGAAGGATAACTGGCACAGAGAACGCTCCCAAACCTATTCTGTGATAAATCTCTCTATTCTAAAACTACCTTCTCTATCCCAAAGGCCCCCATACATGAAATATTAGTCCCACACACTTCGAACGTATCATAGAATGCCCCTCGCACTTGGAATACCCACAGACGATGAGTTTCAAGTCTTTGTCCCTATGATGTTCGAAGCTATGGGCGGACGAAGCGAGTTCGTAAATGCAGTCTGGCCGGATGGACACACGAAGGAAGGGCAAGAGATGTCAGTCCAGCGGTTCCTCTTTCTGAAACAGATCGACCCATCCACAAGGTGGTCCAAAGTCACCGACACGGATACAGGAGAGATATTAGGAGTCGCGCAGTGGAATGTTTATGAAGATGCAAAACCTCAGGAGATGATCGTTGATGGACCCCCTGGAACCTGGAAGAATGATGACGAAAAAGAGTTTGCTCAAGAGATTTTCAAATCCTTCATGGAAGAGCGGTGGAAGTTTATCCGAGAAAATGACCTCCCAATTATTGGTACATGTCACAATTAGAAGTATATGTTAAGTAATTACTGACTTGGCATAACAGCACTCAACATCATGACTGTAGCTCCTAAGCACCAGTATCAAGGGGTCGGCACACTTCTTCAAAAGTGGGGAACAGATCTTGCCGACAAGATTGGAGCAACTGTAAGTATTTCCCTACATAAATTTTAATTCAACGGAGCCTGACATCTTGTTCCTATGCAGTGCATTGTCGAAGCCACGGTAGAAGGGCGCTGGCTTTACGAAAAAGGTGGATTCGTGGTTCAGCGACACCACCTACTAGAAGTTCCTCAGAAGTTTCAAGGTCGACAGCAGCAACGCATATTCTTCATGACAAGGCCAAGGCGCTCTTAGTTACGATCCACGAGTGCTTCCTTACGTAAATTGTGGTCGAAGCGTGACACATTCTACACAAGCAACACGCACGTCCACTTTCTTTTCTCACTGGCTGGCGTGGTTCGGTGAAAATACATTAGTATTCATTTCAATGCGAATTCAATCGTGTTGTCAAATGTTGTCTTCGGGCAATTTCGTATTCCAGCCAATTGAGCTCCCCGAGTTTGATGGAAGGGGAAGTTGCTCGTGTGCACCAAACACTCACTAAGAATAGGCCTAATGCCTGTGAACATGAAAGACCAAGAGGTTCCGATGCTCTATCATAATAACGCACATATTTTCAAGAAAGTAAACGCTTACTCCAGAACAATGAAGCGCTTTCGTTATCTGCCGGAATACGAGAGTGTAGATTGATGATACGAACTACCCGTAAAAGACGCGTAGCAGTGGAGACGTACATGATGAAGGCCAGGGTAAGCGATTAAACTAACTGAAGGCAACATTTGGCAACCTCGAATCTCCCCCAGGAAGTTTGAAGCACCCATAAAATCTATGGGAATTTTTGGCACATGTCTTAGTGACTTGGAAACTATTATCCTTCGAACAAAGAAGCGGAATTCATTGCATTACGTCTTGCTCAGCTACACAATACAGATGGTGGAATCCCACACCCGTTGCACGTTTCCTCGCACACTGTCCCTTAGAAGCAGTTCGTGTCCGGAATCTTGGCATTGTTCTTCACTGGGCAGCTCTCTTGTCGCTTGACTTCTCCCGCCGCTATGGCTGCTTAGTATGCCACAAATCTGACCCACATTGGCGAGTACGTACCTTCGATTGGAAGCGAAGTAACTTGAGTCGCAAGGAAGCAAGCCACGATCGTGAAAATGGAGAAGCGCATGTTGATCGTTTTCGGATCGGAGGATTATGGAGATCACTCTAGAAAGGCGTTTGTGGCTTGCGAGCTTGGTTGAACTTCTCGACTTGGTGGTAGATGATGAATTGAAGTGTTGAATTGGCGACCTGATTCTCAACCAAATTGATCAGGACAGACTTTATACCTTTTCAGAGATGAATGCAACCCTCAGCTGTCATCAATAGCTCTGAGACATGGCAAGGAAACTCTTGTCGCTGTTCTTGACAATCTTGCACGGTCCCCGAAGACCCTTCACCTAGCTAGGGTTACATATTGACGCAAGCAATGGGGTTATGATTTCCTGTATGCAAGACAACGGAGCTGATAGAAAGATACAATCTCCCCTTCTCGGCATATGCCTCGAGGTTGAGAAGTAGTGCGGATGCAGACAACCATTGGCCGTGAGTTTCACCTAGAGATTCGATTCGGAATGTTATGCGGCCGTTTCGTATCGAATGCTACCCACCAGACTTGATCAATCTAATTTCCTCGTATCTTATCTGGTGCCCTGCTCTTGGTAAGTGAATGCTACCAGAGTCGTCATGAGATGAATAGACTTACACAATCTTGCATAGACTAAACACCCAAGTGTGAAGGGGTGATTGCGGCACAGCGCCACCATGCTTATTCTATGGTTGCTGCCTTCAAATAATGGCTGGTAGGCTCTCGTGATCACTCAGCTCACAGTTAAAAGGCTCACCTTCGATCCAAGTTGCTGCAACACTACTTTACTGTCAGCATGACTAACGAATCGGAGCACAACCGACTATTGCTTGAAGAACAGGACGATCAAGGGGATCCAGTCTCCGAGCTTCCTCTTCCGTGGAGAGGGAACCGGACTTCCCAACCATCCTCAACCTGGTTCATGATATGCCTTCTTCTGTACGCCTTTACCACCACTATATTACTTGGCTGGATGGTAATCGCAGATCGAAATGCCAGTAAACTGCCTTATTGTAAGTCCCGCACCTCTTGAATGTGAATGTTCCTCCTATAGTGACATCTTCAATAGCTCCTATCAATCAAGTCCTCGAAAATGAGCTTCAAGATGTATACGACAAATCACAGTCGGTTTTCTACGGTGAGCCCTCAGAGGAACTTGATGCCGCTTGGATGGAATTGGTTCATCGTGAGCTACCCTAGAAATATTTACGACTTTCTTCTAAAGGGATCATTGCTGAGGTATAACACAGCGATGCTTATACAGGCATCAAAACACGAAGTAAAGCTCACAAGCGACAACCCAGAGGAAAGACTGGAGCTCATTGATGGAGGATATCTCGGTAGTCTAGGAGTATACCATGAACTACACTGCCTAGTGTGTACTTCAAGCCCTTTTCGAATAGGTATTGACGTCTTCACAGCGGCGGATCTACTGGAATTTCCACGAAGAAACATACTACCCAAACATGACCGAAAGCCAGAGGGAGTATCAAAGGGAGCATTCAAGTAAGTTTAAAACTCCAAAATTCGTTGCAGTGACATAAGGCTAAAGGGGGTTAGGACACTGTATTGAAGCTATCCGACGTAGCCTTATGTGCACGGCTAACACAGCTCTCTATACCTTCGAGTGGGACGAGAAGAACTCGCATTCGAAACAAGTGCTTGTTTCCAAAGCAAAGAGAAAATGCGTAAAGTGGGAACCTCTGCATAAGTGGGCAAGTGAAAGATCGGTCGGACTTTACCCTCAATTCTGGAGACCTAATTTGAAGTCATCACTGTAGCATTTCTAGTTGTACGCACTTTCAGGAATGCAAAATAGCCCAGGAGACTATCTCCGAATACCGTGATTGAATTTCTAAATTGGTGCTGTCCATTGTCAACATGCTAAGGCCAAGCTTGGATCCACACCAAATTCCTGGAAAGTCGTATGTACGTTCGTTCTCTGACCATGGCTAGGGATCTTCGTTAAGGATAAGGTTATCACGGCACAGCGTCTGTAAGACGGCAGAATAGCGACCCGACATCCGAACTTTCTCGTCGAATAATTTCCAATGCACTGGGAATACGGCAGCATCGATCGCTGAAGTGTGGTTCAAAATTTACGAAGCATGTTCACCGCATTTCTGCAGTTATGCCATTCAGCTGAAGAGATATTCAAATTTACGAAGCCCGAATGCAACCCTTCATGGACATCACTAGTCCTGGTGCATATTCAAGACCATTTTTACTTTCTCTAACTCAGATTTTCGGTCACATTTCCCCAAGCTGCATTTCGTTCTAACCCACTCAAAGAATTAAAAGACGGGTAGATGACAGGTTGGTTCGGTGCATTGCCGGGGAGACACTTAGGAAGAGTCAATAACTCCATTGGAAAAGGGCAGTAACCGCTTACGAGAGATTGTTGAAATCACGTCAGAGCCTTTTAAAGTTAGCAAGAAATTCAATTTGCGGTTTACATTACTAACCAAGGGTTTTAAGGTTTATTGGAATTGCAACTATGGTTGAAGCGAGGAAAGCTGCCAGAAAGGCGGAGGGGAACTTCATCTTGGGTGAGCTGTCCGACGTTGGGTTCAAGAATAAGAGAGAATTGAGGGCTGGGGTGTGAGGTTCAGGTTGGTTTTGAAATGGGGGAGTGCAACGAGGATATGGGTGCATATGTACAGGGACGCATCCAAGGCCCAAGAATTTTAATTGGTTATTTTTCGTGTGTGACTTTTCTCTACGTCCTCTCGGTGCATGAGAAGGTAGAGTGTTCTATAACAGGTAATTATCCCGCCCACAGGATTCCTCGTCGTTATCAAACAAGCACCATTCCGAGAGAAATAAACACGCAGAATTTTAGCCAAGGATCCCGCTCCTTCCCATCAGAATCAATAAATCCGATTTCCAGAGGATGAGAGATATTTCCAGAACATCGGTCCGTTTCATCCTTCTGAATCCCAATCCGCCGCTTCCTCAGAATACGTTCAGGCAAGGTCCTTGGACGCCTTGAGCGTCCCTAGCTTTCACAGACGCAATGATTGTGGGATCTACTTATGGAAGGGTTAGTGGAACGAACATCCTGAAAGGATTCGCGAAGAGACGAACCTGTTGGACATTTTGTCGTTTTGGCTATGGCAAGCCCGGACTTTGCTATCGTCTGTAAGGTAGTTGGGGTCGCTATTGACGATGCAAGTTAGAAAATGCTATTGCCAAGATCATGTGGGAGGAGGGCAGCTCACGTGATTCAACATCTGCTGCAGTAACCATCCCCACGACAAATATCATAAGAATTGAAGCAACTTTCATGATGTCAGATCTTCTGCAATACTCGGGCTTGTGGACGAAAGAAGAAGGTGGCGAGTGCGGAAGTTCAAAGCGATTGCGCCCGCATTTGTACGCCGCTCGCATCTCTTCAAACCTGGATTTCCTCCTGTACAGAGTACACGTACCCCACAACATACATCCAAGCGATGAAGTATTCTTAGAATTGTCCCGCTCGCATCTCGCATCAATAACTCAATATTGATAATGGACACTGCGCTCTTCGATATTTCCCAAGACGAGTTTTCCAGGCGCCACAAATCTTCACCAAGTCCCGAAGAGCCTTCCATTGACCATTATATTACCATAATTCGATTAACCGTGGGTTAGAGTCAGCCTTCGTCGTGTCCTCATTACCATTGATTACTTCCGATGCATTTTAAAGTGTGGTGGTACCCAACTTTATCCGAATACCCGTTTGTTGCACAGCATGAGCAACCAGGGACGATATTTTGCGGCCCTTAACAATGATTCATTGGTTCTTCCCAGCCATAATTCTCTCTTTTTATTCCTTCAGGAGCAATTCGGACGGTCGCCCTGATACAGGGAGGCTGACCAGTGGGCCGACCGTTTATCACGTGGCTTCAACTGCTCTGGCCACCCGCAGGGCGCCTTTGGAGCTTCCGTGCTCAATCAAATCCCGAAATTATTTCAAGTCCAGTGTCCCTTAGCCTCCAATAAGTCCATTATTGCAGCATATGGGCTTGAGCATGAAAATCGGTAGCACCCACACCTACCACTGCGATGATGGATGAGCAGAAGGAAAGCCTCTTAGCAGATTGTTCAGATAGTGGCTTTCAGCGACGCAAGACCAACCTTGCCCATCTCCTCCTCCGTGAGCGGCGTTGCCTCGGAATCTATCTTGTCCTTCTACACTTACTCTTTATCGTCGCTATTCTCTATCCCGTATTTCTTCGAAGCTCAGGAGAAGCTGATGTCGAAAGAAGTATATACTGTATGCAATCGTAATTAAAAATTCTGTAGAAGCGTCTCTAACATTCGATTCCCATAGCCCCAGCTCGCAATGCAATCGAGCATACCATAAAGAGCGATTTTGCGACCAATCATTCCCACTACGGCCTCTTCAATGGCCGCCCGAATACCAAAAACGATGATGCATGGCGAGAACTTGTGAATCGTATCTCTCCCCCAACCTCCCTCCACTGAACGTTAAATAACCCCTTTTAGCGACATACTTCTCGGTGACGGACAGTGAGATGCAAGCCGCAAAAATGTCGACCGACGAAGCAATTCCACTAGCAGAAGGCGGATATCTTGGAGCCCTGGCTGTATATCATCAACTTCATTGCTTGAGAAGGTTGAGAGTGTATATATATAAAGAGGCTTACTATAGCGAGGAGGATCTAGAGGATATCAAGAATGGGCCAATGGACGATTACACACATGCGCATTTAGGTAAGATTTTTTTGGGATATAAAGGAGATGTGGTATTAACTATGCATAGACCATTGTATCGAGGCACTTAGACTGCTGGTTATGTGTCGAGGAGATGTGAGTCTATATACGTTTACTTGGGCGAAGGATTACCCCAATGCAACTAAGAATATTTTGTCAAGAGTAAATGCACCAAGGCAATGCGTGGATTGGGATAGACTGGAGAGCTGGGCAAAGGAGAGGGCAGTCCCTTGGTCACCAAAGCTGGTTGATCCAAGTGGGGAGATTGTTACAGGAAATGCTTGATAACGGAGCAAATGTAACCAATCTCAAGTGTCCACTTCGTATACTAGCATTTGAGCGTACGCTCAAGTCAGTTGGAGATATCTCATCGCTCAATGTCGTCTTGCAGCCTATCACCGAATAGTTCAGTGCACCACCAAAATATTTAAAGTATTGGAGATGTGTAAGCCATACACGTGTCTTTCCAATCATCTTACCTCAAGTAGCAACATCTGAACTAAACCGATCAGCAGTGCCGTCTTGAACAAGATCAATATATTCTTATCTTTCTTCATAAAGCCAGAATCGTAGTCCGCACCTTCCACATTCTCTGATCCCACTCTACAACTCATTTGCGAGGACATACGTAGCTCGATTCTATATTATATATACCTGCCGCATGCACGATACACCTAGGGGTGGATTAAAGGGAGTGTGTTTATCTCGGACGGCGTCGAACGGAGGAAGAGTTAGCGATCCAGCTTGCGCGCAACGGCACGTCTAAAATTCTTATTCGTAAGTATACAAGAACCTCGGACTTCCATGACGATCTACATAAGTTGAAACTGCTTTCTTCCGACTGGCGATCCCTTGGCTAGCATTTCTTGGTTGCGATTAAAGCCATGAAAGTCGGATCCTTCAAGCCCCTGTGCCAACACACTGCTGAGGCGCGCGAGTTCGCATCGCGATGGATGGGCAGAATAATAGAGCTACTCGATGACCTTCCACTCATGGATGTTTGCTCTTGTTGCAGCAGGGTCTACCTGCGCAGTATTTCTGAGAAGCGCAGCGCACAATCATGTGGCTACATATTTGTCTCTAATGTTTCTTTGAACCACTTAAATAGAATTAGACGTGTGACCCTCTGCGTTACCGCGACCCGAGCCTGCGAGATAGGGCATATGGCCAACCCCTCGAACTTTGGTGGGAGCTGGCTGCACCAAAGGATCGTTGGCCGATTTGATTAAAGCTTTTCAGCGATGCGTTGTTGTTGAGCAACATCTTAGATCGGGAAATCTTTGAGACTCCTGGGGCTCCTGGGGGACTTCTCATTGAGCTTACGGCTTACAAGATTGAGAAGTGGAAGTATGATCGATATAGTGAATCGAAGATCGTTTGTGACATTGAACCCCGATACAAGGAGATCATCGCCAAGTTAATACACACGATGATCTAGGCTCGTCGAGATTACATGCCTAGAGCTAAGGAATCTGATATCTTGACTGCGACTAAAGCAGCGACTCTTGAGAGAAGAGTCTGACGAGGGTTGCTCGGGTCTGTTATGGCCTCATGGTTATGAGTTCCCTCCATCTCTTGTACGTAGAGATCCCACTTCCAGATAGTAGCCGTTGATAAATGAAGCTAAAATCGTGGTGGCTGGTTGGTCTAAGAACAATTCACATACAATAAAACTATTATTTCTTATATACTTTAGACATCATGAGTTCGTGACCTAGAACACCTCTTAGTAAGCTCGTAAAGACTGCCTATGGATATGGCATATATACTACTTACTTGCGTATTTGCTGCCTCTTGTCTCTCGAAGCGAAGGATTAGTCTATGCGTTAGTTTTTCTACAAGTCCCTTGTGAAGTTCTCTAAATGTGTTATGTGGCACACTAAGCCCTTCAAGGCGACTGTAAAATGGTATTGTGCGTAGAATTTATGATGAAATGGGGATACTTTGGTTGACAATGGAGTGAGAACTAGGTTTTTGTTGCCGTCTTGTGTGCATAATGTGAACATCAAACTTTAAACGAATTTTCCTTGGTCTTGTCCTTTCACTAGCAATGTACCTCCGCACTCTTCTGCATGGTAGAATATTGCGAATCCCATACCATCCGTCACCAGTTCTCCCAGCTCTCTGACCTTCGCGCCAATCTAGAAAGTCGCATTTCATCTATTACAGCCAAGCAAACCTTTAGGTTTGCTTGCGTGAGGAGATAAAGAATTATCGAGATGAAGTTCTTCACTGCTACAAGGTCTTCACTCGCGAGCTAGACAGGTACACCCAGAGACGAAACAGGAAGGGTCATCGGGAAGACCAGATACGGAATATGGAGTAAATTTCCTTTTCACGTTGATGTTATTGAAGCTCGAGCTCGAGTATGCACATGAGGGTAGATAATGCTAGGCTTTACCCGACAGCCTTGAATAGTTTGGTGCTATCTCGTTATCTCCTTTTCGGCACTCGAAAAGAAAAGAACCAGGATGGCAGCACGCATCATCTAGATCCTCGGGTGCATATATCAATGGAGGGACTTAGCTCCTGAATGGAGGAGGCATCAGCTTGATTATCTTGTTCTTGATCCAGTATTACAGCTCAACTCACTCCCAGACAAGTATAAGTGACTCGCCGATGCAACAAAGTAGCCTAACTTAGAGCGGTTGGCCTTCTAAGGCCATGTGGGTAGATTGAGCGCGGCCGAAATAACCCATGTACGGTGATTTGAAAAGGAGGCTGCCGCATGGGCAAAATTAGCAGCACTGAGCAGTACATGTTGCCAGCAAATGAAGAGACTTCGCAAAGGTCTTGCCCGATCTGTGGCCGATCCTTTGCTAGTACAGAAGATCAAGATTTCGAACCAGCTGTGGAGAGGAGGTGCGGACATCTTATGGGTAAATACTCCCTCCAGAAGTGGGTTGATTGGGGGCAGGAAAATAGAGACACATACCGTCAGTGCCGATCGCTACTGGTAGGCGATCCGGTCGAGATATTCCAAGCGAGCACACACCCGCTCATCCGAGAGTACCGTACCGTCTTCGATGAAACGCGAGCTTTCGACCGTAATATCGATCAACTTCTTCTCTGTTATGGCGAAGAAGTCAGCACGTTGGACTCGTGGTCAAGTTACGAGCCGACGCCTTGATGAACTTGAAAGGGCTTTGAGTGAGGGTTGGAGAAGCAACAGAATGACAGAGCCCCGACACAGGTGGCCCAAGGACCACCTAGGTAGGGTGGTGTTGACGATGAATGATCAACGAGTGGCCGCCTCATACTTTCTATCCCATAGGGAAATCTACCAGGTAAGAAGATGTACATTGAAACTGCCGACTCAGATATGACTTCTAATGGACTTGATTGAACATATCTCAAATTACCTTGCCGTGGGTTCCAGGCCAAATCCACTATTAGACGGAGGGAACGTAGGTGGCCGGAAACTGAGGATAGGACCTTCCTCCAGAGGAACCTCCATCGATGCAACTCCGAGGGAGAACATCATTGGGTTTCTCCTCACTGTCAAAGCACAAGTCGCCCAAACGAAAATGGTGGCAGTCCACTATCTCATAATTTCTCGGTCGGAATGCATTCTATAGCTCTGCGAGAGCTCACCAATACCCTACAAGCCCTCCAAGCACGTGCGATCACCCGTTCTCTTCCCGAATCCTCCACATTGTTACCTGGCAGCAAAAACAGTAAAGCGCCTCTCATCGACGACTTGAAAGCAGAAGCAAGGAGCGAGAGCAGTGCTATCGTCGATTAAATAACCTACACCTATGGCAATGAGGCCTTGGCTCCTAAACCGGCCTCTAAGAGGGATGTGGGTTAGCTGTTCTGATTCCACTACGTAAACGTGCGACTAAAAGCCGATATGATGGCGAGCCTGATGACTCCGTGACCAACGTCGTGGATGTCAAGTTTCTCAAGTAGTTTGTGCAGCGGCGATTATACTGTGTGCTCTCACTTCGAGACTCTTGAGCGGACCCTTGTGAATCCTGTTTCTACACCCATATTGCTTGCCCCTCTTGGCCGCTAGATCTAGGAGGCAATGCTTACCACACGCCGTTCCTACTCTACATCTCCCAAGTAATCTACTATGTAAATAGCAGCGAAGCTGGACAGACCGCAGCTGCCTTTGACGCGACCTTCCAAAATAAGCTGAGCTACCACACCAAATCTCCGAAATAATTATCTGTACCACGAACCAAGTCTCGGTGCTTTTCGGCACCACGATGCCCCAGATTCCGGCAGTCGATATTGCTTCCGTTAAATTTAAGAAGTACTCTCCCCGGATCTTGGCAGATCAGATAATACGGCTGCGGTTGGTGTAGGTTAGATCTCGTCTTTCACCCGGGATACACCCGGAAGCTTGGCCACGCTTGGCCTCTTACGCATATTCGACAACGCTACCAGGATGCCGAAAAGGTGGGGGGGGCCAGATGAGTGTTGAAATTGCGAAATTGAAGATCCAAGAGAAGTATGAAAAAGGAAATTCCTCCAATAGGAAGTGGACTGTGCGAAGGAAGAGGAGAGGAAATATTGATATAAATACCATGAAGATGACGGCACTGAGCGTTCCCCTCTTGCAACAAACCTTCTTAGATTTAAACAATCAGTTGGATTTCTCCCCTAAACCCAACATGAAGTCCTTCGGCCTTGCCGCCCTTCTAGCGGCAACACCCTTGGCCTCGGCCCACTACATCTTCAACATCCTGATTGTTAATGGTAAAACCATGGGAGGGGAATATGCCTATGCACGCAAGAACTCGAATTCCTACAACCCTGCGTTTACAAACGAGCTTATGAACTCCAACGACCTGCGATGTAACAAAGGCGCCAAGCCCGGCAGTACGCCAACCTATACGGTGCAAGCCGGAGACAAGCTCGGGTTCAAACTCTTCAATAATGAGTTTATCGAACACCCCGGACCAGGTTTTGTCTACATCTCAAAGGCGCCAGGAGCCGTCAAGGAATACGACGGATCTGGGGACTGGGTCAAGGTCATGGAGACAGGAGTGTGCAAAGGTAGCCCAGGCACTGATAGCAACTGGTGCAGCTGGCAAAAGGATAGGCTGGAGTGGACGGTCCAGAAGAACATCCCACCAGGGGAGTATCTGGTGAGAGTGGAGCATATCGGACTACACCAAGCACACGAGGGCAAGGCCCAATTTTATATTGAATGTTTCCAGCTGAAGATTGAAGGAGCTGGAGGAGGAAACCCAGGACCATTGAACAAGATCCCAGGCATCTACAAGGCGAATGACCCGGGGATTGCATTCAACAAGTGGAATAATCCGACGTCTTATGTTATCCCGGGTCCACCGGTGTGGGATGGAAAATAGGAGAGTGTTAGATAGATATAAGTAGCTACAGAATGGAAAGATGGGGGATGAGAAAGCAGCTCCTTTCATGTTTGCGACAATATTGATGCGCAGAAGAGGAGAGGATAGGCGACTTAGGCGAAAGAGGCTGGATGATGAGAAATGATCGCATTCGTAACGATGAGACGGAAGATGCCGGTCGAGGTAGCTAGCGATGCAGGGACTTGGCCCCCTTGTGGTGGTTGTCGTGGAAACGGCACAGCGTAAACACGACAATCTGAGCCTTCGTCATCCACAACTGCCTGCAGCATCCTTAGCTGCCCTAATATTACTCCCACCCTCACTAGCAGAGAGTATCCATCCACGCCGCTTGCCATTGCCACTCGTTCTTACATTGCTATCTCCTCTCGCTCTCACGGATGTCTCCCGGCCGTCAGGGCCCGGCTGGATGAATTGCGACGGTAAACATCCACGCAACTGCTCTTGAATCTACCGCACATGGCGCCCGCTCCCCAGCCGCTGCCTACGCGGTTTCCGTGCTGGTGCAAGGCCGTGTACTCGTGGGGAGGAGAGGTATGTCTGCAGCCACCTGTTCGCTCCTGCCTCTACACCTTGGCCGTGCCTGACCGTTTTCCTCTAGACTAAACGCGACCTCGGATTCATCGAAGGCGACCTGATAGAATGCCTAAATGCCGGCGACGGGTCCTGGTGGATGGGCCGGCTGAGGCGGGATAGACGCATGGTCGGCTTGTTCCCCTCCAACTTTGTCCAACTTCTTGAAGACGACTTCCAGCCATGGAGCCGCAACGCCAGCCCGCAGACACTCAATGGGGCAGCCGGAGGAGGCATATCACGCCAAAACAGTGCGCAGCCGCCCAAGCAGGCGCCACAGAAAGCAAAGAGCATGTTCCGGAAGCCTTTCACAGCCTACGCTGCCGCCAGCTCCCCAAATCCTGCTGCTGCTGCCCGCCAAATACAGCAGAAAGCCGGGGGGCTGTCGCCAAATCTAAATGGCAGTGTCTCCAAGCATCGTCCGTACTCATCGATGAAGAGGTCATCCACGGAGAGCAGAGATAGCGCCGACCCTTCCCCGCTTCCTGCCTCTGCCGCCTTCTCCAACCTACGCGCTGTCTCTCCCCGGCCCACGCCAACACGCCCCGAACACTCACGGGCAGTGTCGCCCGCACCTCCTGCCCAGTACCAATCCCCTTCTCGTGTCCCGTCTCCACTGCCACCGGCGCAATTCCAGTCGCACTCGCGAGCACCCTCACCCGCTCCATCATTCCAATACCGCCCCTATTCGCGAGCAACCTCTCCTGCCCCCTTTGGACACAGCGATTCCCCTCCACCGCCTCCACCGCCACATCGAGTTGCCTACAACCCCAGTCGGGCGCCTTCTCCTGCACCATTCCACGAGCCCAGCTACATAAATGGCTATCACACACCCGAACCACCTTCTCCCGCCCCTCACACAGGTAGCAGAGGAAATTTCACGCCATCGCCCTTGACTAATGCAATGAACGATGTCATGTCTTCGCTGCAGGATATGACCATGTCCAGGAGCGAGCATTCGCCAGCTGAACCGGCAACGCCGCCAAATGTTTGGTCGCCCGAAGCATTTGATCAGGTATACCAAGCGTCCGCGAAGAAGGTTCGGGCGCAGACGTCACTGGAGCCTGGTTGCCAGGGCGGCTTTCCTGATGAGGAGGATTTCCACGATGTACAACAGCACGACGATGACGGGCCTCCGCAGGTACACAATTATGTGCAGCGGATGGAGAGCCGCCTTCGCAGAATGCAACAACAGGAAAATGCTCGGCACAATGATGAGCTTTTTATACCGAGAGATGCGACTGGACCACCTCCGGCCGTGCCGCCCAAGAATCATATGTATCAAGCAAGACCAGACTCATCTATGGACCACGTACAGCCGGATGTTGGCCGAAAGGACTCTAACTCTCGAACCCTTCGACACCGAAAGTCCGCGTATGAAATTGGTCGCGAAGTGTTGGGGAGAACTTTTACGACCAAGACAAACTCGACAACTATGACGCACACCAGCAGTTCAACAAATCGTAGCTTAATGTCTGGGCAATCGGCGACAAACATGAGTGCAACAAGCGCTGGTAGCTATTACAGGAAGAAGCTTGGGAAGCCCCGACCGGTCAGCGTCATGGACACGCGAGACATGGCATCGAAAGGTTATGGCTTCGACGATGGCCGACCCGAAACTCCCTTCACTGGTGTCACTTACCACTCAAGCCATGACTCTCGCTCGCGGCCAGGATCAAGCCACCAGGGCGATACCGCTGGCAATGTTGCTGATGGGCAAGACCCGCTTGGTGGATTGATGGCGCCAAAACCGAAGAGGAGTGGCTTCTTCCGGAAAATGATCGATACCGCGAAGACTCAAGCTGCGAATGCACGGAGTACCATTGCTTCCGGCTCAGCTAGTCGGCCCTCGTCGAGAGCAGCATCGAGAGCGGCGTCGAGAGCAGCGAGCCGAATGGATTCCAATGGCCCGATGGGTGGTATGGCAGGAGGATCAGCCGTCCAGTCTAGCGCTGCGCGTGACATGGGACTTGGCGGGTCAGTTGACTGGGTCCAAGTGCGGCGGGATGTAAACAGGTCGAACTCGTTAAGCAAGAACGAGAGGATGGAACGGGCAGATCGATGCCAGTTAATGGACATAACAGTCCTCAATCCTATTGATATTCTCTACGAATCCGCCGAGGGCGATGAAGGACTCGACGGACTCTCAATCGCAGAGCCTACCGACTTCACAGCTTCGAACCTTGCGCTTGTTGACAAGAGCGCCCGCTTCGTCAATAACCTCCCGCTTGGAACCACGCCTGCTACCTTGGCACAGGGATATGTTTGTCGACCATATAGGAGCGACGTGCAGCGGCTTAGGGCAATTTTCACTTGGGTCAGCGAGCGTATATCATGGGAAGAAGATTTTGAGGGCGACATCGATACACGGCATGTCATTCAGACAAAACGTGGATGCTCAGAAGAGATTGCCATTCTAGTGGCTGAGATGTGCGCATCAGTCGGGCTTCACGCTGAAGTTGTGAGAGGCTATCTTAAAACTCCTGGGGAACCTCTGGACCTGGACAGCGCCGCCCGGCCAAATCACTTTTGGAATGCTGTGATTGTGGAGGGTGAGTGGCGTATCATGGACTGCTCGTTGGCTGGACCAACAAATCCAAAGCGGGCGGAATACTCTGACGCTAGCTCTCAAGCCGCAGACGGATGGTATTTCCTAGCCCGACCCATGGAGATCTGCTATACTCATGTGCCTCTCCTTCCAGAGCAGCAACACATCTGCCCACCTCAGCCGCATGATGTCTTGATGGCCCTACCTTGCGCTTGCCCAACGTATTTCAAGCACAGATTGTATATGCCGGACTTCGACACCAGTCTGCTGAATTTAGACAACCTGGAGCTAGCTCATATTTACATCAACGTTCCAGAGGATGTCGAGTGCGTTGCAGAAGTCGAAGCAAGGGCATTTTCCCAGGACGCTGACGGGGACTATTTCGAAAGTGGAGATGTGGTCCGGAAACCCGCATTGGCGCAAGCGGAATGGATTGGAGGGCAGAAGCGGTACACAGTAAAAGGACTTCTGCCCGGTGACGAGGCCCACGGTGTGCTGAAGGTATATGCCGGCCCACGTGGACTCAGGGTAAGTTGATATCAATCCAAACTCGCCCCTTACAGTTAGTAACAACCCCACAGCATTCCAATAAGCTAAATCCGCACTCTTTGGCTGTTGCTCTACCCATTAGTCATTCCGGATCCAATCCTCCTTACTCGTTCTTGACCCTACATCCGACACCCCACGCCCAGCGCCACGATCTCTATGTTGGGCAGCCCCAGTGCGCCAACCTGGCTCTTAACAACACGTTCGTCTTTACCGTTCGCCAACACCCATCTTCAGTAAATCGCACGCCTGACCCGAATAATGCGATAAACGGCCGCGTCTCTCCAAACCCGTTCGCTCGCCCCGCTTCAGCCATGAGTATGCAAAGCATTTCGATGTCTGGATCGTCATATTCAAACCCTTCGCAAGCGTCTTCCAATTCGTCGAGTGGTACGCACAAACCAGCGAAGCTCGCTGTTCAGACTCCATCAGGAAAGATCATTCGACTGTTGCGGAAGAACGAGCACATGGGTGGCACGGCTGATGGAGCTGATGGCAGCGTGTGGGAGACGGTGATCAAGATTGGAGAGAAGGGCACATGGAGAGGCCTCGTGTTGGCAGACCGGAGCGCGAGATGGTGCGTCTTTGCACAATGGGAATGCGCCTAATATTCAAGGACATAGTCTAGTATGGGATGTAAGAGAAGAGGAGCTGGTCTGCTGCTGGGAAAAGCTATGTTTGTGTTCTTGATTCCTTTGGGAGGGCATATGTTACGGTTCGACATGCTACGACTTGTAATGCTGCGGCGTTGGCGCGCTTCTTCTGCCACGAATCTGTAAGGTTTACATTGCTGGTGACGCGACGAGGTATGCATTAGTGGCGTTGGCGTTGGGTGTTTTGGGACAGTTCTTGGGTAGGAAGCATAGTCATAGCCCACGATTAGAATTTGTGAGGCCTTCAGAGCTGAATTCAACAATGTCTTGGTCTTCAATAAAATTTCTTCCGGCATTTCTCTCCTCATCGCAGCACGAATTTGCGTGGGGAATGGGTGTTGATGGCACGTGCCCTGGCGCTCGGACCGTGAAGTGATTCCGAGGTTTCCAAGAACATCCATCTGTTCACTACGAACACTCTCCCACCCTAAATGCCAACTTTCAAGACACACTGACAACCGCCATCGCCCTGCTTAGACATTGAATCATAGAGCCACCCCGAACCCTTAAGATACAGTGTCCGCGTGACTCATCCCATCTTGATTGTCCTCACGCCGCTACCCCACCTCATCTCTCACCCCACTCAACCGCCCGACCCACCACACAACGCCATCATGGCGTCCTCAGCCTCAAAACGCCTCTTCAAAGAATACAAAGGACTATCCTCAGACGCACCGGAGGGCATCACAGCGGGACCTGTCTCAGAAGATGACATGTTCACGTGGGAAGCGCTGATACAAGGGCCTGAGGGGACGCCTTTTGAAGGCGGGATATTTCTGGCGGAACTCAAGTTTCCGAAAGACTATCCGCTGGCGCCGCCGAAGATGAAGTTCTTGGTGGATATGTGGCATCCAAATGGTAAGCTGGTCTAACTTGCCTGCATGGAGAGGGAAGAGATTTGACAACGGGTTGTTCTTCGAATTGGGCGTGAATGCGGTGTATTGCAGTGCTGATTGAACATGCTAGTATATCCTAGTGGTGAAGTGTGCATATCTATCCTTCACCCTCCGGGCGACGACCCGCACCACTACGAGCAGGCTAGCGAGCGCTGGTCGCCGATCCAAAGTGTCGAGAAGATACTGATAAGTGTGATGAGTATGTTAGCAGAGCCGAATGACGAGAGCCCGGCGAATGTGGATGCCGCGAGGATGTGGAGAGAGCGGAGGGCGGATTACGAGAAGTTGGTTAGGGATAATGTGAGGAAGAGTTTGGGGCTATGAAGTGGAGTGCATGGGAATCTAGAGAGAGAGAGAGAGAGAGAGAGAGAGAGAAAGAGAGCTTGAAGATGATGTTGATGTTGTGAAATCATGGTCTAATTGGACGTGTTGCTGTTAATTTAGCAGTTTTTGGGCCTTGGCTGATGTCGAGGGTTCGCCCGAAGTTGCGAACGTTGAGATTACATTCCCAGGATGAGGAAAGCGATTCGCGGTAAGGCAACTGGATTCAGCGAACATGGTGTGAGAATACATTTGCTGATACCCAATACGGAAGGTATGACTTCTCCCCTCAACGCCGCAAATCCAAACATGATATCCAATTCAAGTCCAATGAGCGCCGTCTGTCGCTCAAACGACTTTTAACCCCACTACCTCTCCGTACCCGTTATACGCTACACCTCTGAAGTTCCATTTTGGGCAATGCTCCTGCACGTTACCCGCTTTGTCTGTTGCTCTGCTCAATATCTTCTTGTCTTTCCCTTTTTCCATCTCGACTCGCGCTTTCCATAGACACCACGCCCACTTCAAACTATCCGCATCGTCGGCCTCATTCGGGGTCAACAGCTCGGCGTTTGTCCAAGTGCAGCCATCGTCAACCGAGATCTCAACACGCACCACCGGCCCATCCTCCCCAGAAGGAAGAGCGTAACCTTTCACCTCGACTTTCCCCTGGCTATCACGATGAACCGTGGAATCCTTCTTCGGCACCCCAATCACAGAATTCACAGGCATGTCTTGAATAGCGGGGACTTTGTCCCACCACTTCTCCGCCGTTTCAGCGCAGTCGGCTTCGGGTGGGAGGATCTTGTAGTCATGTTGTTGGTAATAGTTCGCACTTTCACACATCTGCACCGTGATCCTATCAAGCCATTTCACGGATCTCGCACCGGCGATTCCGGGCGTAACGATGCGAACAGGTGCGCCGTGATTTGGCGAGAGCGGCTTACCGTTCATCTCGAGGGCGAGCAGAACTCTGGCTGAAGGGCACAAAGCCCGGGATAAGGGAATGCTGGCGCCATACCATTCGTCGTCTTGCGTGGGCGTCTGGAAGCAAGCGAATGCGACGTGTGCATCTTTCCATTTGTCGCTTGGGAGATTGATGCCGGCGTTTTCGAGGACGTCTTTGAGAAGAGGACCTGAGACGCCACACGCCAATTAGACTAGGTATAGGACGAGGAAGTAGACGTAGAAACAGGGAGGGCAAGGAATCTCACCTGTCCATTTGCAATTCATAACCGCGCCATCAAACCAATCAATCCCGCTCACTTCTTTCAACTTTGTGCGCATCGTATGCCGTCTATTTCCCGCACATTGCAGCGCGCATATAACGTTGTGCTGGGGAAGCGCCTCGAGGTCTTGGATGCTGAGACAGAGTTCCTGCTTTACTGAACCGTAGACTGAGACGCGGTGGGTAGCGACGTCGAGGTGAGGGATTGGGCCATGGTTGCGGTCGTAGCCATCTTCCGTTATGAAGCTGTGCAGACATCAGCCCCTCACCTCCATTCCGTGCTTTCATGCACAGATACGAGGGATAGAAATGATTATATATATATATATATATATGTGTGTGTGTGGAGAACGGACAGACCTCGAGACCAGCTTCTCAAGCTCTGGTTCCCGATTCAACGGCGTCTTGACCGAGTATTCGAGCTAGTGACGTCAGATGCCGCTACTTTATTTACGTTTATCCGAATCAGGAGACTTATACACAAGGGATGCGTACCTGGACCATGGTGCATGCGTGTGTGCTCGTTGCGGTGTTGGCGTGGATTGCGTGATTGCTAGCCGGGAAGAATTAACGAGGGTAAGAATGGAACAGAGCAGCGGGGCTGCAGGTTTAAGCGGGATAGAAATTGAATGCGATGTGATGTAATAATTAGCTGTAGTCAGTCCTGAATGGCCTTGCATGGCCTTGTCGAAACTTTATATTCAAGTGTAGAGAAGCGCCAACGACGTTTCGCTAGCCTTCCTGCCCGGATAGCCGCGGCTTTGTTTTGGTGCGAGAGGCTGGGCTGGACGAATTGTTTGCTCTGTGGGAATAGCGTCATGGTACTGGTGAATTGCGGAGTCGCTCGTGGCTCCAATCACTCCTCCAAGGCGCCATGGTCCAAGGGGATACAGCGTGAACGCCTGTTTGTTTGACTCCTTCTCTCGCTACTATTACTCCACCGATATCGCTATCTGTTCATCTCCAAACTTCTTCAACTCTCCCTGCCCATTCATCTCCTCAGAATCCCGCGGATTATATACAGTCAATTCGTCTTCATCTTCATCTTCATCGTCGTAGTCTTCTCTCTCGCTCCCATCCACATTCTGCACTAAATGCATCCTTTCTTCCCCCGCCTCTCCCCCGCCTAGTTCAATGTCTCGGACTTCCGCCTCCTCAGGCTTCCCCATCATCCACAAAGCCCCAGACCTTAGCACCAGCGCCACCAAAGAGAACGGCAACAGTATCGCAAATGGCGGTAAGCTTCCAGGCCACATCGTATAATCTCCCCTCCCGTCCCGTCCCCATCTCACAACAACACAACCAACCAATGCCCGCAGCCAGGCCGTGCAAGCGCACACAAAAGGAAAGATATTAAACACAGCAATCAGCCACCAATTCGGCTCCGCGATTTCCACAACGGTTTCGCAGCCCCCGTAATCTTGCGTGTGGGAACGGATTAGATATCCGAAGATCAGACAGACGGGTATGAGCAGGAAACTAGCTGCGACGAAGCGGGTTGCGCGGGAAGATAGGAGGCGGTTGAGTTCGTGGCTTAACGATGGCGGTGAGACGTCGTTACTGGAAGGAGTCCATTTTTTCTGAATCCAGGAAGAGCTCACTACGACTTCAGTGATGATGGTCAGGACGGTGAGGCCAACTGTTAAGAGAATTGCCACAGGGTCAAAAGTGGAGTCGTTGTAAAAGCCGAATTTGAAATGGCATTCGAATTCGTCGTGGATCGGCATTATGGACTGTTGGTTGGTGCTCACACCATCAACAAAGGTTGACGAGAGGACGACACGGCCACTATAAGGATAAGTAAAAGGTGGCGGTGCACATCTTCTGATTGGGAACTAGTTCTAGAGGGTCTTGAAGGATGAGCCCACTACGCCTTGTCGTTCGTCCAAAGAAGAGGCTCATCCGGGACTCAGCCTTACCCTAGCCTTGGGTGTGCCATGTTTTAGATCCTTCGGGGCTATGGCTCGACCTGTCCGAAATTTTACCCAAGAAACAGATTTATACTTCTCGTGAGAGTCACTCTATCTCTGTGGATACTTGACATTAAGTGGGATTATTTCCAGCCATGTGGACTGCCTTTGAGAGGGACAGAGCTTGTTCGATGACAGCGGAGGACACGGCTTGTTCACTACACATCTTGAATCTCCTTACGCAATATGCATGTTCAGCAGCACGAGGGTCTTGAACAAGTCATTGGCATAGAAAGCTAGGATTGTGTTCAGAATCCCCCTTTTTTTTTGGCTTCGCAAGACAGTTTACAGTGCTCTACCCGTAAACGCCGCTCATATAACCCTATGCCTTCATCATAATATGATCCGATACCTCTTGTACCTCCTAGTTGTATCTGCCTACTTACTTTTGCCTGTCGGAATCTGGAATGCAACAGCAGGCTCGCCATGCGCAGACGCCTTGTCAATCCTAAAGTATCCCTTTCGGTCGAATTGGATAATATCGTCGACTTTCAGCTCGGCCACATTACAATCAGCCACACACTTTGTCCTGAACTCCGTCTCCTTGTTCAAAAAGTCCTCAAGATTGTCCTCTGGTTCAAGTTTATCCTTGGTAATAAGGTAATCGAAGTCGACAAGCTCGACGGGAATGAGGTTCTGGTCAACGGAGAGCCAAGTTACTTTCTTCGAAGTCTTCTTGAAATCGCCTTCAAGGTGCAGCTCGAGCTCGAGGCTCGTGACAGTCTTGATGCCGGCGGGTTGTGCAAGCGGGTTGGTCGAGTGATTAATTTTACGGACAATGGCGTTGCCCCAGTTCATCAGCGTGATTTCCTCGTCTTGGGCGAAAGATGCGGCATCGGCCTGCTCCAGCAGGACGGATGAGCTGAATACGACCTTCTTCTTGCCCAGGTTTGTGTACTTGGCATGCTTGTCCTTCTCCTCCGTGATTATGCCCTCGCGAGCTCCCATAATCGTGACGGGAACCTTTGCTTCCTCGGCGATGGCTGTATAGCGTGCTGCAATTGGATCGATGTGTTTCTTGTTTGTGGCCCAGAATGTGGACCAGTCGAGGTTGACGATGTTCTTGGAGGGGCCTTGCTTAAGAATGAACTCACGGAGTGCTGGGATAGTGACACCTCGCCGACGAACTCCACGCACCGTCGGCATACGCGGGTCATCCCAACCCCACACAACACCCTCGTTCACGACACGAGTGAGTTTGCGCTTAGATAGCAGTGTACGAATAAAGTTCATGCGAGCGAAGCCCCAGTTGTAAACGTGTCGAAGCTTCAGGGCCTTTAGCATCCACTGGTACTGGGCGTCACGATCGTTGTACTCGGTGGTGCGAAGCGCGTGGGTCACACCTTCAATAGCGTCGATTATGGGGCAGCAGAAGTCGTAGGTAGGGTAGATCTTCCACTTGTCGCCAGTACGGTGGTGCACCTCGGGACTGCAGCGGTAAATGACGGGGTCACGCATGGCCTTGTTTGGATCGTCGACTGATATCTTTGCCCGAATGCACCAGCGAATGCCTTCATCTGTAGCCATCTTCATCTCCTCAAAGCGTGCCAGATTATCTTCGACGCTTGAGTTCCTCCGCTCACTGGGAATGCCATCCATGCGCTCCTGCCTCATCTTCTCTTGTAACGTGTCGTCGGCATATGCATTACCGTCCTTAATCATCTGCACGCAGAAGTCGTACAGCTCTTGGAAGTAATCGCTGGTGTATGAGAGCTTGTCTGCCTTGACTCCCATCAACGCGAGATCTTCGATAATAGCATCCTGGAACTCCTCTTTCTCTTTCAGAGGGTTTGTGTCGTCAAATCTCAGAAGTAGAGTGCCCTTGTACTCCTCGTGGGCGAAGTAGTCGTTGAGGAGTGCGGCCTTTGCATGGCCGATATGGAGGTAGCCGGAAGGCTCAGGCGGAAACCTGGTGACAATACCTGTGCCATCACCGATATCCTGTAGCCCAATGCCATAATTTGCACCGTCATCGGCCTTCTTTCCGTTGTTAGCCTTGCCATCGTCTCCTCCCTTTCCTCGCGTGGGTAGGGCTGTTTGCTGTGGATAGGCTTCCTCGATATACCTGAACCACCTGCAGAGATTGGGCATGAGATTCTGCTTGACATAGGCATAGGCGACCCTGTTCTCGCGGATAGTCTTCCAAACTGTCGTATCCGCGTCGGTGAGGGTGTATCCGACAATGTACGTGCGGAGGGTGAGGTGAGAATCGAGCTCTGCTAGAGCAGGCTCAATGGCCCTGAGGTTGGGCGCAGTCATGTACTGCGCACGGTCCTGCCATTCCGTCGTCTGGTCTATGAGCTGGGCCTCCATTTTCGTCTTCTTAGCAAGAAATAAACCAGAGAAGCCGAGGGCTTGAGTCAAGACTTATAGTGGTTTTTTTTTTTTTGGTCGTGAGTCGACGCTTTGGTGGGGTGGTGGGACAGATACGCCACAGTACAAACACTGCAAACACTGAGTCACGCCTTCACAAATATTCAGACTGTCTTGACTCATTGCAATCACTGGTTACCTGGACTTGGAGAGCCATGACAGCTTCACAGTTACACACTAGCAGCAAATGCTGAGGTTTCAACTGGTGGAGAAACGCGTGCTGGAACATATAAGGTTCCGCAATTCCAATTTTCGTGTAATCATACACTGTTCATACAAGTTATGTCCACATCTCATCATTAAAACCACTCAGTGAGGTCAAATCCTCCACCGTCTCCTCCTCCCCCTCCACTGCCCCCTCCACCGCTACCTCCAGAATCACTACCATCACCAGAATCACTACCATCACCAGAATCACTACCATCACCAGAACCACCTCCTCTCCACGGATCGTTGCTACTACTACTACTACTACTACTACTACTACTACTACTACTATTACTACTACTACCATCGCTCCACATATCCTCTCCTTGCTGACTAGGCTGTTGCTGATCGGGGGTTACATGATATTGATTTTCTGCCTGAGGCGACTGGGGGTCAGTATCCTGGACGTCTTGCTGCTGCCCAGTTTCTCTCCCTCTCTGCATGGCTTCATATCCCGCCATACTCCCAGCCCCAGCAGCACCTGCCTCGCTAACCCCAAGTCCCCTAGCAGTAGCACCAGCTTCACTGGCAACGCCAGTCTCTCCCGTTGCCCCAGCCGCTCCAACCGCCCCAGCCTCCCCTGCTGCTTCCCCTCCCCATGGGATCATCCACATAGGCAAGAATCCCATACTGCCGGAATTACTATGCCGGCTGAAGTAGTCGAAGTCGATACTGACTGCTGTTGCCAACATCACAGCGCGCTGATCAAGCGTCATTCCCGGATACCCCTCAAGTGTAGGTTCTGATTGCTCCCCACTCTTAGATATGAGGTGGGATGGTTCCCCAGTAAGCCCGGCAGCGTCCATCCTAAGTGCATAGACGCCCGTGTCTGTGAAGAGTTCTCGGGCGAAACCTGCGAAGTTCCTGTTGACAGAGCCGATGAGACGGCCATCTTCTGACATGAGTGAGAAATCCCAGGACAGGAAAGGCTCGTCAACGCGGGCAAATTGTATCATCCCGATCTCTCTTGAGTCTCCCTCGGCAACCTGCAAGGCTTTTGAGTTGGATAGCGGGAGACGGCCTGAGGGTAGCTGTGGGGTGTCGGGTTCAGCTGCCTCGATGTTTCGCGCTAGGAACAGATTATATTTCCGCCGCAATGGTGCCCATTCTTGCTCCGCAGATCCAATAATCCTCAAGTGTGATAGTGGAAGTCGAGCGACCTTTGCGCTAGTCTGATTCACTATACTTCCCGCGCTTGTACCTTGTAATGCAACCGACGATGCATATGCGCTGTCACCTTCAGCTGTAGCATCGTAGATTCGTATTTTTGAGCTGATCCAGCTGAACGGCCTGTGGAATCGGAGGACCTCCCTCTCCTCACGGTCAAACACATGTGTAGTAAAGCTCCGATGTGTCCTAAACATCTGCCGTGCCATGGCGTTCCCTAAACCGTGTTCCTGCTCTGCAAGATATCCGATGTGATTCCCATGCGGATCCATGATGATATATCGGTTTGCCTGTTCGAATCCCATCAGCACATTCATCATCTCCAGCTGACGCTGCACCACAATGGCTGAGTTGTCGAGCAGGCGCATGGCGGGATGTGCTTCTTTAAGGACGCCATTGGGGTCTTCCGGGATATGAACGGGCGTTACGAGGTTATTTTCCGAGTCAGGAGTTTGCGAGAGGGCAGTAGACACGGCCTCAGCCCGAGTGGGTGCGACTAGAGGAGCTTCGCTCGACTGGACTTCATTTTTGGGTTGCTCGGGCGCGGGCGCATCTCGTCGATGCGGCGGAAGCCATGCCTGTGGAGGTGGTCTGCGTATGGATCCTCGAGGCCCTTGAGGAGTGTTTCTTGTTACAACAGTGCGGAAGGTGGGCGGTGATAGCCCCAGAGTCAACCGAGCCGCAGGAAGTTTCGTCCCGAACATTCCGTGACAGTCGAATTCCTAGAGGATCAACGCTGTTGAAGTAGGCCGACGAAGAATTACATATGGTATTCGGGCGCTTCCAGGGTTGCCACTAGAGTTCCATCGCTGCTTCATAAAATGGCAAATGCAAGGGATATACATTTTCTCGAAGCAGTTCACTAGGACCCTATCAAGAACTGCTTATGTAATAAAGTCCCGTGACGTAGGAAGATAATGCTAGCATTACATGGGCAATACCTTAGAAACAATAATGCCATCTAAGGTGATCTCTAGGTGCGTGAATGCTGGTCAGGACGCTGTGTTGGTGTTCAAGAGAATGGAGGAGGAAGTTGCACACTGCCACGAACCCCAGAAAGGCTTAGCAATAAAATATCCCCACACCCACCTCACCTTCACCTTCAACGGCAACCTCAGCACAGAGATGCAATTATCACCAGCAAGCGAATATTTCTCACTAGAATCTGTGAGAACAACTCCAAGTATCCTCCTTTCCTCGCTACATATGACGCACAGTTGTTTCGAATGTCGTACCGTAATTAAACCATTCACCTGAGCCTCTCTCTCGAAGCGGCCCGTATCTAGTCGTTAACTTGAAGCCACGCAAGTGCTACCAGGCTCAAGATTGCCTCCTCTCTGCTTTTTTTTTCAGGAGCCCTGAAGTATTTGCTCTGTCCCAATACGACTTCAGCCCCAGATGACCTGCTGAGTCACACCCACGAACTTTCCTGGGAGTAGGTCCGATTATCTGTCCAAGGTTAAGGCCGCTTCTCACATGGCTTCATTCGAGGTAGCTCTAGGAAATAATCCAGGACAACCATCCACAAAGTCTCCAGGAACGAAGGAGATCGCAACCGCCCTGCAGGTGAAACCAACGAATCCACGACCGAGAAAGCCTAACTATGCTGCAATCCACTCTCGATCCCTTCCACTCGAAGTGCATCCTCTTCCAGCATTCATTCCACACAATCCGTTGTCCTACCTGAGGATTGCCATTACCCTGCTCTCTCATGCGCTCTTTCCCCCGACATCCCATCCTATCATTCACAAAGGGTTCTTCTCCGCTGAGTCTCAGTCTATTCATGTAACAGACCCACGGTCTGTCCGTGCGTTATGGGAGCAGGGGTTCTGGGGAAAGGGGTCCCTCAGTCGCAGTGAGCCTCGGTGGCTCGATCAAGAGAAGCGCAGTCGTGGGATTGTCGCTGTGCAGACAAGTGAAGAAGCAACACGCTTGAGACGAGAGGAGAGGCGGCAGTTCAAGCTGGAGAGAGCTAAGAAGGAGAGGGAAACTATTGAGCAGCAGTTACGCGAAGAAGGGAAACTCGAGGCAGTGGAGGAGCTGGAACAAGTACTAATGAACGGGGCAGCAACTATTCCATCGAATGGCACGCTAGGGGCTTCTAATGATACCACGAATGGTGCTACTCAGGTCAATATTGGCCGGGATGAAGACTTAGATCACACAGCTACACTTGAAATCGCTTCAGACGAGCAGCAGACCTCCCCTGTTGCAAGAGAACCTATCCCGGAGATTGAGGATCTTGAATATCTACAACTCACACCAGAAGAAGCTTTCTTCCTCTCTTACGGACTAGGTACCCTCCAAATCCACAAAAACGGATATTCACTTCCTTCGCCATATCTTTTCCGTCTCTACTGCGCCTACGCTACTTTCCCCATATCAGAAAACGCCGAGCTTTACCTCCACAAATTCTATCAAAATGAACTCAGATCCAACGGCACACACACCTCGTCCGGTATTTGTCCCATTGCTCCCGATAATCCCTTCCTCCTAAAGTACGCTGTATATCACCATTTCCGATCACTAGGTTGGATTGTCCGGCCGGGGATCAAATTTGCAATAGACTACCTCCTCTATCTCCGTGGACCAGTCTTTTCACACGCGGAGTATGCAATCATGATCATTCCCTCTTACAGTCACCCGTACTGGTCAGTCTCTCCAGAACGCAAGGCAGAATGCAAGAGGCGAGAACATCGGGATTGGTGGTGGCTGCATCGGCTCAACCGGGTGCAGAATCAAGTACTTAAGACACTGGTTCTGGTTTATGTCGAGGTGCCGCCGCCGTGGGATGAGGATTGCAGGGGAAGAGGGTTTGAGGTTGATGTTGGGGATGTGTTGAAGAGATATACGGTGAGGGAGTTCATTGTAAGAAGGTGGATTCCGAATAGAAATCGAGATTGAGGGAAGGGTGCTAGGGAGATGAGTTGGACCGGGCACGGTGAATGAACTATATGATTTGGGAGGAGAGCATGGCGGTGCAAAACACATTATCTCACATATTTTAGAGAGACAGGTAGTGTCGTTTGTAATGCTTCTGAAGTCTTGGATACCCTACTAAACAATATCAAATTCGCCGCTCGCACATGAGTCGGCTGCTTCTCTTCGTTTTCACCCCAGCTGTCACACCTAGCCCCATCAGCGCACATCAATCCATAAATAACCTGGCACTCACAGTATAATTAGCGTCCTGAATCTAATTTTCACCCAGAGCTACAAGTACATCCCTTCCTCAATGCAGGGTCCGCATGTGGCCACGGTACGCACAAATACCCCCTGTTTGTGCAGTCGAGATGATGGACACCACAGTCTGTTCGGGAGCAAGGGCCCGTGTGCCCTTGAGGAGCCGGCTCAGGGAGCGCAGATGCAAGACTGAAGAAGAAAGCTGTGAGGAATACATATGGGCGCATCTCGATGAGCGTGGGGAGAAGGATTGGGTGATGGGGTGGGTGGAATGAAGTCGAGCAAGTTACAGTCGTGGAGTTTCGTAGCGGGATTGTAGAGATACTTCCCATATTTTCGGTGGGAAAGTAAGGGCTCTAACATGGCTTTTTGAGAACCATATATGCGCCTTTGAGCATTTCCCTCAAGCAAAAAAGCTCACTTCAGCCTCATTGAGGGCGGAAGAAAGACGTTAGCAATGCATCCGGGTGTGTCCAAATTTCTTGGCTAAATCTCTGTGGGGATTGCCCCAAACTCATTCAGAGTTTGGAAATTGCACGCCGAGCTGCACAGAGAGGTAATGGTGTAAAACCACCTGAATTTGTACTCCCCAGAAGCTCGACAAGATAGCACCTGCATATACGTCAAGACGCCAAGCCTTGGAACAATTATGCGAGATCTGATATCTCCACGCCTTGGGACTTTGGATAATTGCCGTCTGCACACGGAAGATGATTGTCACTGGTCTTGTCCTTTCTACTCCGTAATAAGTAGGTACCTATGTAACTGAGAACTCCGTCGCCGTAGCGAGAAACTAAAGCTGGTACTCAGAAGGAACAAGCACATCTCTAAGTCTATATTGGCCTGCTGTCTAGGAATGCCCATCTAATGGCGGAGTTTCATGGGCACCGGTGGATAGGCATTTGTTTCATGATGGGAGGGTGAGTGGTGAATGGGTGGTCATGCCGAGAGGGCGGGCGCCGGAGGCTCATTCTCCCGAGACCCCGCGCGCAGGCGCGTGACATAACTAGTGTCGAGAGGACATTCATCCAAGGTTGTCTTTACCTTACCTCCATCACTTATCAACATCTCGAAAAGTAAGAATGGTATCGAACGACAGCGACGATTCTCGACGCAATACAGATGGCGCCGAAAGCAACCCGTTTATCGCCTGGCGTCACCACATCGATGCCCGTGTCTCATCGCTCCGAGACAGCGTCTTCACGCTTCGAACCCAGCTTGCCCACCAAATACCACTGCACCAGATGGAAAAGCAGAACAAACTGAAATCCTTGGAGCAAGAAATGGCTCGTGTCGTTGCTGAAGGGCGGGAGAGCTTCTGGGCGGGCGACATGCAGGCCGCCTTAGAGAAGCGAGCAGAGCTCTTGAAGCTTAGTCGCGAAGCCGATACGCTCTGGAAAGACTTGGCTAAGGCCGACACGCGGAAAGATAGTGATAGCGGCTACAGCAGTCCGGACGACTCTCACACGACTGTGGTTGAGAGGGTTGCGAACGCCAAGGGCCAGCAGTGGGGTTGGTCGTGGAACTGGAGCTACCCTCGACCTTTCAACGCCGATGACCAGAGCCCATCAGAAGATCACAACGACAAACACACTCGCAGGCACATGTGTCGATGGCGGCACCGGAGGGCTGACCAGGACATTTCCAATCAAGGGCACGATGACGACTGGGATGCTCACTTCAATGCCAAGTGGGACAACATCAAGCGGCGAATGAATGAGGAAGTGCCCTGCGATGAGGACGGTGCTCCTAGAGTGTGGAAAAAACAATGGTCGTGGAGCTGGCCGCCACGTCCTTCCGACGCCCCCGAGGAACGGACCTCCGACAACCGCCCGCAGACTCTGTTCGACGAACTTAGTAATGCCATCATGGACGAAGTCACGAGGCTAATGCTCCCTCGTCCTCATGTATATCCAACTCCATCCTATTCGCCGCGTGCTTTAGAGGAGAACGCCGAACTCACCAAGGCCGGCCTACAGTGGAGGGATGCGTTTGAAGATTTGGTGCGAGCTGAACGTGGAGCTCCCCTCATACCTGCAGAACGACTAGGCCAATCGAACCACGTTCCGTACAACCAGTGGGTGAGGCGGTTCTGGCAGCCCGATTTTGCCTCCTCAGAACCAGCTTGGGAGCCGCGAAGGGGGTATCCAAAGCGCGTGCCCTGGGAAGGAGAGGAGACAAGTGAAGAGCCAAGTTACGAATATGGACATGATCATGAGGATCAGCATGACGACCCGCCCACTCCGAAACCCTCCCGCGGTAAGTTCACCGAAGGAGAACCTCCGACAGAGCTAGAGGCGTATGAGCGCTTGCTAGGCCCAGCACCTACACAGTCAGAGACTGCAAACGCAGCACGTCCATCAATCTTATCTACCCTTACAACTACAGAACGGACCGTTTCCCCTGATGGCTCCGTAACCACAAAAGTGGTATTGAAGAAACGGTTCCAAGACGGGAGGGAAGAAAGCTCCGAGACAGTACACACACAACGCGGCCAGGATACTGAACCTCAAGTCCAAGACCAATGGAAAGCGATGCAAGAGGCCCAGTTTCCAGGGTCACCAAAACGATCTGAAATTGAGCAAGAGATGAGCAAGAGTAAAGGATCGAAGAGTGGATGGTTTTGGTCAAAGTAAGGCACATGGAAACAACGCACTACAACCTAATCTATCAAGGGATTTCTTTGCTATGATAGTTGAAGGCAGCTCGCATCGTTGGAAAGAATCTTAGCGGAGCCATGTTCAACAGGTGTCTTTTGACAGGCAGGCAACTCCTCTCAATTAGATTGCTCGCGACTCTCCTCTTACATAACCCGTTCTATTGTTACCCTTTCCAGTAAATATGACTACATGGATGTGTCTCGTATGTTTGCACCACATCTCACCTTTCGCTTACATAGGTCATTTTGGGAGACCAAACGAAAGCAGGCTAACACTCATGGCATAAATTATGAATGCACACAATCTCTCCCAACAGGCATTTACAGAATTATATCCTACGCCAATACAACCCCTTCCTCTTGCAAGCCTAGCGGGTACCTTCTATTTCAGTTGGAGTGGTCATGTCCCGGTATCCCTATATCCACGACCGCAACGCTTAACTCCGGCATCATAAAGTCAAATGTCCCATTGTCACCCATTGAGAGCGTTTTCGTTGTGGTTACTACAACGTTGTTCCCTTTCGCAGGGTCGTTATACCCGAAGGGACCAGCATCCGAGGTTAGTAGAGTCAGTCCAGCCGTCGCTCCCTTCTGCAACCCTTCAAACTTGAGAGAAACCGGCGTTGGCTGGTGGTCTGTTGTGTTGTAATTTGCAACCTTGAATATCTGAGAACCAGTATCCTCGTTCTTCCCGGCAACGAAGAAGAGACTTGAGGTGTTTGTTGAAGGCGTCGTAGGTAGGTTGTGAGTTATGGGATGCGTTGAGATGAGCTGGAAGATGTGATAGCTTGTACTCAGCGTGGTCTTCTTAACATCGGCTTCAAACTCGATCATGCAAACAGACCACTGCCACCGGTTCATATTCCGCAGGATTGGTGCGTAGGTGGCCCCGAGGATGCGATCACCATTCCGTTCCGTGCTGATCATGAAGACAGCCTCCCCTACGCCCCCAATCCACCAAGGAAATGGGTGAAGTTGACCTGCCCAATCGATACCGCCATTAGGATGAACTGCTGCGAATTCACCAACCAGGGTCAAGTTGTCAGGTGTCAAGTTGTCGAATTTGTCGAATTCGGCGTAGTAGTCGTTGGGCTGGCGGTATGGATGATAGTCACCTGCCGCTGGTGCTGGGATGGTCATATTATCAAATACCGACGGGCTCGCGATAATATGCATATCTGGATACTTTTCCTCGATTGCATTCTTGAAGGCCTCGAAACGATATGTCGTGTATGATTTGTAGCCGGATGGGGCACCAGCAAGCCAGTCTTCATTTCCGACTTCGATGAACTTCAATTCCCAAGGTTCTGGGTATCCGAGCGAGGCACGAAGTTGGCCGTAGGGTGTCGATGCGTCACCCCGCACGAATTCTATCTCGTTGAGTGCATCCTCAACCCATGGAGCGAGATCGGTTTCGTTGATGTATGCACCGTCAAGTGCGAGACCGGACCAAATGGCTAGGACTGTACCAATTATAAGTCATTGGGTCCATGGAAGGAGGATAAATCTCAGTTACTTACTCGGCTCCAGGCCCATGTCATTACACCAGTGAAGATATTCTACCAGTCCGAGACCATCAGAGGTTTGGTAACCCCAGACGCCAGGACGGCCAGGTCTGTCCTTGAGTGGACCGATCGTCTCGTTCCACTTCCAAGGATTCGCAAGATTCGGTCCCTCCAAGGCATTTCCACCTGGAAAGCGCAGAAATTTCTGGTGAACGCGTTAGCCCACATCCTCAGATTTCATGGTCCATACTTCCATAGGGCCGCCCTTACTGGATTTAGTGCAGCGAAAGCTTCGGCAATATCCGGCCTTAACCCATTCTCTCGATTCTTGTAAGTGGGCGGAAACAGAGAGATAAGGTTGAAGTCCAATGATCCACCCGTTACGCCTGCGGGATCAAACGTTACAGCGAAGGTATTGTTACTGCTCGGTGCATCCTTTTCTGGCACTAATATGAATTGGTGCTGGACCCACTCATTCTTCCTTGCCTTCGATTCAACCTTGATGCTTCCAAAGGTTTCATTCGTAAGAGCGGACTGCAATGACGCCTTAAATGAACCCTTGTAAGATCCTCGGACATAAAACGACCCCTTGTACTTTTGCTTCCGAACATCTATTCCCCAGAATCCCGCGTTAGCAAATCCAACGGACTTGGAGACGGTCGAACTAGTGGCCACATTCATGGAAGAAGGCAAGGCAGCCGAGAGCGGAGTGCTAAGGTTCTTGATCGAAAGTATAGCGCCATTGATGGGAGTCCAGCTGGAGAGGGAAACGGGGTATTGCTTGCTGCCTTGGAATGCGCGGTTGCGGATTAGTTCTGCGTAGATGCCTCCATCTCCGGCATTGTTGATATCCTATTGTTATTTAGAATCTAGCGAGAAGCCGTACGAATGGGTTACCCACCTCGTGCATTAGCCCGAATGGAATCCTGCTTGTTTCATTTCCCCCTTGTGAATGAACCACTATCTCGACGGCATTGAGAGTAGTCGCCAGGAATGCCAAAACAGCCACTGGAAGTCCTAGGAGAACCATTATGCTCCGCCTGTACTACTTAACAACTGCTGCGATATGTTTTGACGAGACCAATTGACACGAGGACTGGCAATGGAGTGGGCCAGAAACTTTATACTGGTACCCTAAGTGCAGTTTGTAAAACGAACCACGCGCAATATCTACCATTATCAGAAGCGTGATACACGGCTAGACGCCGGCCTCTGGGTCTAAATAGATTGCCATTGCCAAACTAGCCCTAACATCGGATCTAGAAAACAATCAAGATCCGCAAATTCAATCCCATATTTGGGGAATTAACCTCCAAGAGCAGACCTTCAAATTCCAAGAACCAGGAGAATTACCTTTCGATCTATGGAAGAATGCAGGTCCCGATTTCTTAGAAGAGTAATAGTGCGCCCAAGTCGTTGTCTACATGTGTAGAACGTGAGGAGTCGAAGTCGGTTGCGAGATTTTCATTGGCGGAAATGGTGATGTTAAAGTTCCGCGAAGAGATCGCGGTTTATCGATTTCACGGCTAAATATGGTGGGGGGCTTTCCTTAGCCGAGAAGAGAGTCCTTCATACGAAGGCTTGAGCATGTGACAGGTCCCTTTGCCAGGAGCGGGCGTTAATGGTCTGTGGACACGAAACGGAGGAGTTATACTTGAAATGAGGTCGTAAAAATGAACTTGCTCCACCATAGCAAGATAATTCGCATTGGTGGTTATTCTACATCATCTTTGTACTTGTGGGATGCGGTGGAAAGTAGCAAGCAATGGAAAAGGTGAGGCTAAATAAGTATATTTCTTATTCACAAAAGCAATTCAGTTTAATAGAGGGACTGTTTCTGTCAGGACGTGTTTGGAATTGTAGCTAACATTGCGATGCTGTGTAACAGGGTGTCACAGGGATGCTACAAGCAAGTGTTAAGTTAGTACCTCACGTGACAGTAGGATTGCTCCTATGCTATTAGCGGTGACTATGGCCAGAGAGAAGAGAGTAGTATAGGGGGGTTAGAGATAGGTAGTCTAGTAATTGCTTAGTTCTAACTATGTAGTAGAGTTGTTTAAGCAATTAAGTTAAATAATCTAACGTACCTAACAGGTTGGCCGGCCACACAGGTTAGCCGGCCACTTTTGCTAAGCCCCTACTAAAACTACCCTATTCTAGCGCAAAACAGCCTACTTTAGCCCTATATAAAGTAATATAACATAAGATATTATTTAAAGTCTACTTCTACTACTTTCTTATACATATGTAAGTTATGCCTAGTCTAATTACACTGCTTATATTACTTTTAACTTAGCTTACTTTTTTTAGTATACACTTATGTTTTTAGCTTTTTTTTATTACTACACGCTTTAAACTTCTTTAAAGTAGTTAAATAAGCCCTATTTTTAACTATTAAAGTTTTTTCTACCTAAATTTACTTTTTTTTTATATAATTTATGTTATATAGTAGCTTTATTTACTACTTAAAGCTTTATAATCTTTTTTTACACTAACACTAGCTTATGTGTAATAATTACTACTTTTTTAAAAACCTTTTTAAAAGCTTTTACTATAGATGTTAGTAAGCTATTTATATAATTTTAAATTTTTACCTTTATAAGCATTAATTATAACTTAAATTTAAAAGTATTACTTAGAGTTTATAACTACTAAGGCTTGTTATTAATAAGTAGTAATAGTAATAAAGTATATAACTAAATATTAAGAGCTATTTTAACTTATTTTAAGTTAAATAAGACTAAACTAGCGCTTTAAAACTTTTCTAAAATATTACTAAAAGTAATTACTACATTATAGGTGTATATAAAGCATAGTAAAAACTTAAGTTTTATAATATAAGTAATTTAGTTATATATAAGATCTTTAGCTTAGCGCTTATACACTTTTTAAAAAAAAGTAAAACAACCTATATTAAAAAGCTATAAAAAGTGTAATAAGTGTAAAAGTATATAAATAGTAATAATTTAATTTTTTTATAGTACTACTAAGGATTAAGTAAGTTATAGCTTTTATAGCTATTAATAATAAAAAGCTAATAAGCACTTATAACTTTTTTCTTTATATGCTTATTAAAGTGCTTTAACTATTATAGCCTAAACTTATTTATTATTTAGCTATTTTTAAAGACTATAATAACCTAGTTTTAAAGCAGATTTTTTTTATACTAGGCAAAGAAGTAATAGCAGCTTTTAAAAATAATAAAAAGTAAAATAGCTTACTTTATTATATTAATGCTTTAAATAACTATTATCTACTTTTTATTACTTTACTATATTACTTTTAGCTATTTTTATTTCTTTAAAGCTATAATAACTACTCTAGTTAATATTTAGCTTATTATAAAGCTTAACTTATTAAAGTTATATATGTTTTTATTCTAGATAATATACTTAGCTTTTATATTAGCTACTAGGTAAAACTAGCTCTAGATAACTTTTAAATTTTTATAAAGTGCTTTTTTATAATTATACTTATAATTAAACTTTATTATAAACTTAAAGTAGTGCTTAACTTACATACTAGGCTAGTTTAAGCTAACCTAGCCTAGATTACGCTCTATGCGTAAGAAATTAGCTATATTAGCTATAGCTATAAGCTTAAAAAGAAATTTATGTGTAACGTACTTCATAGGCGAGTTGCTCACACACCCAAGTTGCTTACTTTTGCCAAGACCCCACCCTAACAAACTCTATTATGGCCCATAACAACCTGCTCTAGCACTATATAGTACAGTACAGCCTAGAATATTATTTAGATACTACTTCTACTTCTTACTTATATGTTTATGTGTTATGCCTAGTCTAATTACACTATCTGTAGCGCTTTTAGGATAGCTTACCTACTTTAGCTTACACCTACTTTTTTACTTTTTTTTTTTATTACTACGCGCTTTAAACTTTTTTAAAGCTATTAAGTGTAAGCTTTTTTAAATTATTAAAGTTTTTTCTATTTTAATTTACTTTTTTTATGTAATTTATGTTATGTAGTAGCCTTATTAGCTGCTTAAAGCTTAGTAATTTTTTATTATGCTAATACTAGCTTATACATAATTATTGCTACCCTTTTTAAAACTTTTTTAAACACTTTAACTATAAAAGTTAGTAAACTATTTATATGCTTTTAAATTTTTATTTTTATAAGTATTAATTATAACTTAAGTTTTAAAGTATTACTTAGAGTTTATAACTACTAGAGCTTATTATATATAAGTAGTAGTAGTAATAAAGTGCGTAACTTTATATTAAGGCCTATTATAACTTATTATAAGTTAAAAAGAACTAATCTAGCGCTTTAAAACTTTTTTTAAATATTACTAAAAGTAATTATAGCATTATAAGCTACTTTAAAGCATAGTAAAAACTTTATTTTTATAATATAAGTAATCTAGTTACATATAAAGTTTTTAGCTTAGCGCTTATACACTTTTTTAAAAAAAGTAAAACAACTTACATTAAGTAGCTATAAAAGGTGTAATAAGTAAAAAAGTATATAAATAGTAATAATTTTATTATCTTTATAACGTACTTCATGGGCGAGTTGCTCACACACCCGAGTCGCTCACTTTTGCCAAGACCCCACCAAACCACCCTTCCTACACTAATGCATTCCCCACAACACCACTTAGACGCGCTAAAAGAACGTTAGATACAGCTTGCGCTCTAAGCTTTTAAATAAGACATAAAACTCTTAAAGAAATGTGCTGTAGCTATATGTAGGGTCTTATAAAAGACAATAAATAACTACAGCGCTAGACAACCTTTACAAGCTAATTCTACAGCTAAATTATAAAGGCTAGGCAATAAAAAGGAGCAGGTGATTGTTAAGACTATACTTAAGCTATATGCGCGAGGAATTTCCCCTTAGATAGCATTTATAGCTAATATAGCTAATTCTTTGCGCGCTAAGCGTAATCTAGGCTATGTTTGCATAAACTGGCCTAGTACGTTTGTGAAGCGTTATTTAGAGCTTAAAGTAAAGTTTTAAGCGCAAGTATAGTTAAGAGATATCTAGCTAATTATAAACCCTGTCTTGCTAAAGTTGTACGTGTTATCATCCTAGATGCTATACTTAGCTTTAATATTCTCCACAAGGCTAAACCTGCCCTAAATTACCCTAGGACTCTTGCAGAGGGCTCTCTTATAGTTGTACTTACGCTTAAACGTTACTTTAAGCTCTAAATAACGCTTTACAAACGTACTAGGCTAGTTTATGTGAACATAGCCTAGATTACGCTTAGCGCGCAAAGAATTAGCTATATTAGCTACAAATGCTATCTAAAGGGAAATTCCTTGCGCATATAGCTTAAGTATAGTCTTAACAATTACCTGCTCCTTTTTATTGCCTAGCCTCTGTAATTTAGCTGTAGAATTAGCTTGTAAAGGTTATCTAGCGCTGTAGTTATTTGTTGTCTTTTATAGGACCCTGCACATAGCTACAGCACATTTCTTTAAGAGTTTTATGTCTTATTTAAAAGCTTAGAGCGCAAGCTGTATCTAACATTCTTTTAGCGCGTCTAAGTGGTGTTGTGGGGAATGCATTGGTGTAGGAAGGGTGGTTTAGTGGGGTCTTGGCAAAAGTGAGCGACTCAGGTGTGTGAGCAACTCGCCCATGAAGTACGTTAGTATTACTAAAAATAAAGTAAGTTATAGCTTTTATAGCTGTTAATAACTAGTAGATAGTAGCTACTAACAGTACACTTCTTTATATGCGCATTAAAGTGCTTTAACTAGTTTAAACTAAGCTAATTAGTAGTCTAGCTATGCTTAGAGATTATAATAACTTAATCTTAAAGTAAATTTTTCTTTTTATACTAGTTTAAAAAGTAGTTACTACTTTAAAAAATAATAAAAAGTAAAATAGCTTACTTTTTAGCATTAATGCCTTTAATAGCTATTATCTACTTCTAGTTACCTAGCTAGACTACTTTTAGCTGTTCTTATCTCTCTAAACTTATAACAACTACTCTAGTAGATATTTAGCTTATTATAAACTTTATTTTATTAAAGTTGTACATGTTATTATTCTAGA